TTCATAATCTACATAAAAAAATATCAGATTAGCTGTTCTGACTCCAAACACACAGGATCTCTCGGATAATTCCTGTCAGACACATTTTTGACAACTTTACTTTTTTCCAACAGCTTAATTACCCTTTTTTTCCTTTGTGAGTCTGAAAAAAACTTCGGAAGGCGCAGTTTGGCAACGAACAATAGTGTTTCTCTGACAGTCAGGTGGGGGAGCAGTCGGTCATCCTGCCGCACATGTGCAATGCATTTCCTAACAAGCTGGGGAGTGCTGGGTTCATTGTTGATCAGGATTTGACCAGACTTGATTTTGCCTCCATGATCCCGGCAGGTTATCACGTCAAGCAAGGATGTCTTTCCACCGGCTAGAAAAGTCAAAATTGAAAATTAAATTAATTCCCAAGGGATCATTTTGAAAAGTGGTCTTGTCACAGACAGAGGATAGAAATTTTTGTTCCTTAGCATCTCTTACACAACACTTCCTGCAGTTTTTCCAAAGCCACAGAGACGGAATGGTCTTCAAAGAGAATACTGACTATAAGCTCATGTTCAGGAAATCTCTCCCCTCTGGAATGGAGTATGGGGCTTTAACCCTTGTCATTTCTCAGCAGAATTGGGAGGTTGGGCGTTGAGGATAGTTCCATGAACACAAGAAGAAAGATCTCTTTGGTTACCTCTCTTTCACTTTTGAAACATAGGTGACAGGTGGTGTCTTGCCCTGGCTGCAAGGCTGACACCCAAATGCTAAGCAAGAGCTTTCTTTGTGGAGGGATTTGTGAATTCAGATACAGCAGCTGGATCAGCTGAACGACTAAGGTGCTGAATGATTATACAGACAATAAGAACCTTAATCATGATTGAAATAAAAATTATTATGACTTAAATAAGACAAAAAGACAGTTAAATAATTAAGAAAAGCTGGCTCATAACCAGAAGTAGGAAAAGTAAAACAATGAAAACAAAACCTGATGTGTAGTTAAATAGCAAATGAATTTTTCCTTTTTGCTGTATGATACTGTATGTAAACACACAGAGCTCTCTTTTTATGATTAAATGTCATTTATTTCTAGTCTCCCTGTTGAAAGATTAACTCCACACTTGTTTCTTAATACATACATTTTAAAAAAAGAAACCCATCCATCTGTAAACCACATATTGCTCTGTTTAAGAGTGACATATTGATTGCCATTGACAATGTGAAACCCATCAACAGTTTAATCCATTTTATTAAGGCATTTGATGAAATAAATGATAAACAGCTTTTGAAAATAGTTTGACTAGATTGCTGAAAGGGGTTTGTGCTCAGTGTATGTTATCTTACAAAGGTGCTATATCTATAACTTCATATGTTATTTCATCACAAGCATCTCCTTTTATTTTTTGGAGAATCTCTAAGGTACAGCTTCAATTACATTAAGGATATGTACTAAGAAAAAATTCCCGTGGCAATAGGGAGGAAACACCTTTTTTTGTAGAAATAAAGTTTAAACTTTTTGGCAAACATGCCTTGTCTTTGAAAGAGAGCATCTTCACTGAATCACTGAGATATAGAAGAGTCGTGGACACACAGCATGGAGGTTTTTCCCTCCAAAGTGAAGTACTTTTTACTTCAGTTTAACACATCATGTGTCTACTTCTTATCTCCCTAGATGAGCTTAGGCTCAATTGAACACATGAAGAAAAGGCCACCTCTCCATTAGACAACCTCACCTTGGAGAAGATTAGACCAGTTCCACCAGAAAATAAAGGAAAAAAAGAAAAAGACATTGTGAAGCCGAGACCCCAAACAGAAGTGGAACTGTGTTTTCTTCTCTGTAAGTTTCTCTTAATGAACCCAAATGCAATATTTTGTCATGTTAGAATTGTTTCAATCTAAAGGGGATTCCTACTTATGGCTATGCAAGTTGGCACTGATATTTCTTATGGGGTCTGTCCTCATTTGTCTGCTATGTTTTCTGGGTAAGACCTGCAATTGGCCTGTTTTGAATCTGAGCCATGAAGCTGATTCATGTCCAGCAGATCTGGGGCTGCAAGGCCACAGTTATGACAATACCTCACTACACCTCAGGAAACAATTAGCAAATGTGTACAAGGCATAACAAAATAGGGTTTGAAAATCAATCTTATACCCAACTCCCCTAACCCCTGTGGTATCATTCTTTGTTTCCTCATAGATCATGTCACTTAAAGAATGTATTTAAGTGACACATTGCCAATAGTTTTTTCCTCAACTAGATTTTGACATTAAAAAACCTGCTTTTGGTTGTGTGCATTTTATCTGAGAGTTGGTCATATCCTGAAATTTCTTTGCTCTTACCAGTGCTTCCTATAATAGCCAGCATCTGACCACTTTGAACTTTTAAATTCAGGTTCTGGATTATTGGCACATGAGAATGGGGATCCGATTTCCAAGTCCAGGGCATTTTCATCTGTGCAAGGTTTTCATACCAGGGAATCTGGGATGCTGTGTTAACCTAATAAAGAAATAAACAAGTCCCTTCAAGGAATAAACTCTTTAGCAACAAATATCTTCAAAGTTACGATGTTACAAGCAAAGAATATAATTGTTAATCCTCAGAAATACATGGAAAGAAGTTCTTTTGCAGTCATCTATGGGTTTTGTGTTTTGCTTCTCGTTCCTTTAATCACTAAATCTATCTCTGTTCTCTATTACTTTGGAAATTTATTGCTATTGTAAATTTTAAATTAAAAAATTTAATGTAATTTGAAATTCTATTAAACTGAAAATTGTGCAATCTACTTCAGATGCCGTGGTGACACAAAGGAGATGAAAAATTTCACTGGTTCCTTGAAATCCTCCTTATTAGTCATCCTCTCTTCATCTCCTTCCACATACTCATTTTTGCCAGCAAGGGCTCCCGACATCTCTAGCCCGACAGAAAGTCCCTCTGCCCTAACCTTCAGAGGAATGATTTTGCTCAAGACTGAAAAAGAGCAGAGCTTAGAAACAGATCTTTCTTTCCGTCTTACCCCCTTGCTTTACTAAATATATTTACAATGGAGGGGTTGGTCTGCTGTCAGTATTGCAGCCGAGAGTATGACTCTACTCACAAAACCATGTATTTGACTGTGCAACAGTTGTGTGAACTTTTTCAACTTTGTTTGGCTTTTAAAATGGCTTGTGTATAGAAACAGGCATTGCTGGATATGCTTCCTGATGAAGGGAGGTATTTAAATGACAATTCTTACCTGGTAATTGAGTTCTTTGACCTCAAGAACATTCGATTTTCCACTGTATGTGAAATACAGACTGTTATCTTCTTCAGAGGAAAAAATAGTGTCCTGGGTCTTGGTCTGGAAAAGTTGTTAGGTGAATTACAACAGTTAATTACAACAACTAAAGTACTGTTAAAATCTGAGTTCAGAAAAGACGAAGCACAAAGGTAAATATATTTATGGAATATAACAATATTATTGAAGAGATACTGTAGTGCAAAAGTCTGAGAGGTTGAAATAAGTTATCTATTATCTGTTAATCAGTGTGAAATGTACTTTGTTCTGGTGACGTGTATGAGGGCCAAACATGCTGTGCTGTGCTTTTCTAGTCGCTTTCAGTTTAAAAGTGGTCACTCAAAATGGAGATAAATGTCATGTCAGTATAAAGAGAATAGACTCTTTCTTTTTTTTTTAGGAAAAAAATATAGTGCTTCAGCAGTGTTAGTCTACTTGACCAAAATGGTGCATAATTCATAAGTTATAGCGGCTAAAAATTAATGTTCACTGGAATTATATCTGTTATTGAATTCCACATGGACTCAAACTTGGAGAATTTGTGAACAAGTGGGTATGCAACCACAAGTACAGTCTCTTTCTCCTCTTCTGTTTTTTAAATTTACAGTTTTTCAACTGTGGAACTTAGTGTTCTGAGGTATCAGTTAAAATAACAAGTCTCTACTTGGCTTGATTAACCTTTTGCATACAGCTGCAATTATGAAGTCGTTGCTGAGGCAGCTTTCTGGATTTGGGTGTAACTCTGTGTGCATGCCTGCAGTTTTTACTCCAGGCAGCCATATCTCTCCCAAAGCCCTGTGCTTTTCCTACAAGTCAGACTCATTTCTAGCTAAGGCAAACATATCTGTTCCCTGTGTAGCAGACCCTATCCATGCCTGTGGTATCTTTGGCAGCTGAAGACCACTATCTTAGTGTGCACCACATACCCTCACAGCAAACAAGGCTGATTAATCTTTTCAATCTAGATACAGTCTAGATAGCAGAAAGCAATGTCACACGAAGCAGCCTGAAAAGCCGCATGAAAGCCCTCCAAGCTCCTGCTACTGCCAAAGCACTCTGTGCTCTTGCTTATGTTGAACCTAACTTTTGAAAACAGGTGCTCCCCAGCAAATGTGGGTATCAGTCTGAAGGCATATCCTGGGAAAGCCAGTCCAGGCCATGCTGAGGGGCTTTCTCCTCCATCCACATATTTGGAGATCGCCCCTCTCAATTCCACCACTGTGGCATCTGAGCACTGGCCTCATCCCCAGTATGCTCTGGTGGGGGGTGTGGACCCTTTCTGCTCCCCATCTCAGAGCTGGAGGAGCTGAGGGCTCACCAGCTGCAAAAGCCCTGTGGGAAGACTGCCTGCCTGCCTCTCCCAGCTCCCAGCAAGCACTGTAGCTGCAGGACAGCTGAGCCCATCAGGTCCCTCCCGACTCCCTGCAGGTCTCACTCACTGGCAAGCCCTTGCATGTCACCTGGCTCCAGCCGGCATCATCCAGAGAGACATTTTCAGTGGTTTCCTTCATCATGGTGGTGGAAGGTCTCACTCCTTGCAGTGGTTTGACTTGTCTCTTTGAAAGAAATCCTTCTCCTCTTGGTTTGGAACTCAGTCCTTTCCAGGCACCTTCACCGCAGCACCATATCTCCTGGTGTGCTGTGTCTCTGCAGCTGGCATGACCCCGTGGACAGGGAAATATTCCCCTCCTCTGGGACAGTAACAGCTCGGGCTAAAGGTACATCAGATAGCGGCTTCTGCTAATCACTGATCAGTTGTTCTCAGGAAAAAGAAAGGACTGGGAGCCCCTCTGTTTTCTTTGAGGTGGCAAGTGCTTGGAGCAGCGACCTGCTCTGACCCTGGGACAGCGGGGAGCTGCCCCTGCCTGGCACTGGTGGAGGCATGGTGGTGGCAGCGCCAGGCACCTGGCCAGAGGCTTGAGGAAGGGAGGCTATGGAGCCCCAGCACCTGAGGATGTCGGGCAGAGTCTCCCCTGCCCTGGAAAAGAGCAGCAGCATTGGGCAGACAGGCGAGACGAAAGCTGGGGCACAGCCGTCCGACAGCATCAGTGTCCAGGGTGTCTCCTACACCATCAGGTAGGGCTGGGGAGGGCAGTACGGAGGGCCCCTGCCTGCCAAGAGCTGCTCCAACCCCAGGGACTGCGGGAAGTGGGGCTGGCACTGGCGGTCTGTGGGTTTGGCTTCAGCCCAGTCCAGGAGGAGGGATGTTTCCAGGCTGCCCACCTCATGGCACTGGGGCGTCTGCCACAGGGGCAGAGCGCATGGCCTGAGGGAGGCACAGCCGGCCTGTCCTCTGGAGGGCTCACCCGTTCTCCTTCAGATGTCTCTGAAGGACATGTGTTAGAGAAGATTTCCAAAGATTGTGCCCTTTCCCACTGCCAGAAGGATAACATAGGCTCTGAGAAAAGGACCAGGTGGATTAGTGGCTGACAGACACCGTCCGCAAATAAAACCACAGCTCATGTTTGCCCCTTTGGTTGTAGTCCAAAAGCCTCTTAGCAATTATTTTGAAAAATCTGTTCGGACCTCATTTTATCTTCCAGATAATGCTGAAATGGTTTATAGCAGGTAGCTATAAACCATTCACTTGCTTTATGCTAGATTTTAAAATATTCTCTATTTAATTTTTATCGATGTTTTTTTTCCAAGAGAGCGTGTTGGCCCATGGTGGAACTTTTCTTTATATTGGAAAAAATGGACCCGGCAAATACTTAAGGATGTTTCGTTTCACATAGAGAGTGGCCAGATTATGGGGATTTTAGGAAATTCTGGTAAGTTGTTCCAGAACTTTGAAAGAAATAATATTGGAGTTAATACTGGTTATTTTCATAGTGATATGAATGTGACTGAGATCTGCGTTTTAAATAATGAAATTGCAGCTAATTTTAACTTCTGCTTTGTAAAACTGTGGTGCTTGGTTTTCAGAGTTCAATCTTCTGTCATCTAACTAACAATTATAACTTTAGTAACAGATAAGGTTACTTCTAAAGTCAAATGTTCACACAAAGTGTGAATTTGTGTGAATTAAGTGCTAACTTACATTCCCGGTTTCCCATTTTTTTCACCTTAAATAGCTGCATATTCAGGACTATTATTTTAATGTTATTGAGAAAAAAAGCCTTGCTTCTTTTCATATGTCTCCATTCAAATCACGCTACCACTCTTGGAATCATAACATTCATCTCATCACATGATTAATTTCTTTTGTTTGAAAGGATCTGGGAAAACAACACTTCTGGATGCAATATCAGGAAGACTGACACATAAAGACAACTTCTTTGGTGAAGTGTATGTGAATGGACGTCAGCTGAAGAAGGAACAGTTTAGAGATTGCTTCTCTTATGTACCACAGGTTGATTTCTACATTTATTTTTTGTGTACTGTGCTTCCTTTCATGTAAAGAAAGTTCCTCGTGTAATAGAGTAATGTAGTCTGACTGTGATTATACTAGTAAACTTGGGACAAATCAGTTAATAAACTGTATGTATTAATTAAACTTGCATGAGAGGGGACAAGATATTAAATTACTACAGAACTAACTGCTTCTTTTTCTTCACTTTTTTTTTCAGAGTGACTTTTTGTTAAGCTTTCTCACCATACAAGAGTCTTTGACATACACAGCTTTGCTAACTCTTAAGAAATGCTCCAACAACTTCATCAAAAAGAAGGTCTGTATTTTATCGTCTTCCTCCAGAAAGGTAGACATGATGTCATGTAATGCTTTCACCAGCAGCACTTTCCATCCATGGCTGTGTTTTATGTTTATGGGGTTTTGTAATCCTCATTCTGCAAATGGGGAGAAATCCTTATGCTGAGGAGTAGGACTCAAGCTTTCTGGTGCTCCCCACCTCTGCAAGAGGCTTGTGCTGACACCCCAGGGAATCACCATTATGCTGGGACAAAACCCTCCACCCAAAGCTGCAGCAGTTACTGCTGCAGGAGATGCTGATGTTGTTATTGAGGTCAGTTCCCTTTTCCCAGCTGGAAAACCCAGTTCTCTGGGGTGTTTAGAGCCATGTGTACTGGCAAGACTCATGGACAGCAGAAGTGATTTTGACACTATTCTGGCTCCTGTAGGACATCTCTCATCAACCAGAACAACTCCAAAAAGCACTGGTCTACTAAGCCCCCTACAAGCTATTTTCTTGATAAAATAGGTATGTTTCAGATTTATTTAAAGGACTCTTTTGAAAGTAAAGATTGGATATTCCTGACCAAAGGCTCTTGTTCTCTGTCTCTTCTCTTCACTGATCTTCCACTCAGTATTTTATACTTCCTTAGGGTGGATATGCCTTCCTGCTCCCCAATTTTGGAAGCCAGACTAGCACATTATGCTTCATACCTTAACTTCTAGTCCCACCTCTGAACTCTTCATCTCTTAATGTCAACTGAAGCAAAAATTTACTTATTTCAGAATACATGAAAATAAAATTTTAAAAGGTAATTTAAATAATATATTAAAAATAATCAAATAGAAATGAGGCCATATACTTTCTAACTAGAATGGAGCAAGCAGGATATTGGGAAAGCTATATTTTAAAATTATGTCTTTTTCTTCCCTGCTTTTTACCACTCCACACAGGTATCTGAGTTGGACTGTGTTTAGTCTATTAAAATTGTAATTATTTTTCAGGTAGATGCAGTCATGACTGAGCTGAGTCTCAGCCACATGGCTGACAAAATAATTGGAAGCCATAATACTGGAGGAATTTCTGGGGGTGAGAGGCGTCGGGTATCAGTTGCAGCCCAGCTATTACAAGATCCCAGTAAGTACCACTGCACAGATTTTTAAAATAAAGCTGTGTAACTTTGTGCTCCTACCATAGGCTTCCATAAACCACTTTAAAATACAAAAGCATTTACATCCTGTAATTCAGCAAAAGCTACTCTTGTAATAACAGAAAAGGATAGAGTAGTAACCAAGGTCTACCATTAATCTGTTAACTGATCTTGGAAAGCAGACAATGAAAAATCTTAGGGATTGAGCATAGGTTTAGACTTGCATTTATCCATTTTAAGTCTTTCTTGGCTCACTCTTCCCAAATGTTGGTTGTGGCCCATTAATTTGTAGGTTTTGAGCACATTAGAGCCATATATATGCAAGCACTGAGCCTTGCAGTGGAGTGCCTGCCATTGAGCTATTGTATGCATGAGGACCACGTATGTTCCAGAGCCAAAAAAATTCCACTGAGTGAAAATGAAAGCAGAATGACTATAGAAGGATTATCCATGGGGAAAAATCACTGTAAATTTAGTCAATTTTGAGATAGTTTCTTGAATTTGCCAGGATCTTATGGAGTAAATGTACAACAGGCATTTGTTGGATGCTGGAATTATTGTAGCAATGCAGATATGCTAGAACTGCATATCAGGCAGGAAGGAGCACTTAAGTAGTAAAGTAAGATGTATCACTGCTTCTTATGACTCCTGGGGAGTTCATTGGGTGTAGTTATGGCTCAGTAAGTCACTAAACTCTATAGTAAACACTATAGTAATTCTGTGTAGATAAACCTATAGTGAGAGTTTTTCTCCCTTCTTACCCTGATTAAGGCTGGACTGCCCTCTTCTGTGCTATGTCTCATCTATATAAAAATAGTGGATTTGACTATAAGTTTTTCCCTTTCGTGTGCAATAAAATAATGAAGGAAATGCAGTAATCCCCTCCAGCTCCCATCTAGGGAATTAGAAATGCTGTATTTTAACAACTCTTGATTTGTTCATGATAAATTATGTGTATATATGTAGATTTAATTGAGATTATAACTTCTTGCTGATTTTACGGTTATATTTACATTTACATACATGGTGAAATTTATCATTATTCTTAGAAGCGGATGTATACATCAATTCTATTTTGGTAATTTTCAGATTTTTCCTGAATTTAGAAAAAAATGATTATGCTTTGGTCCTGCAGTAGTTTTTTATGTCCTCATTCCTGGTCATTGTAACTGAACCACTGGAACTAACTTAAACTGAAAGATCACATCATGGTGATCTATGCATACTCTGCTTTACGTGTGGAACTTCACATGTAAAGTAATTTCTATATTATTTGCTCCTTTTAAAGACAGAAGCTGTAGGACTTTCTCCTCATTTACCTGAATTTTAAAGCTATTCCTTGTCATTTGACAGAGGTCATGCTACTTGATGAGCCAACGACAGGGCTGGACTGCCTGACTGCAAACCAGCTTGTCTCGCTTCTCTCAGAGCTTGCACACAGAGACAGGATTGTCATTCTTACAATTCATCAGCCTCGCTCAGAACTCTTCAGGGTAAATGATATCTACTCGCTATTGGCTTTTTTTTTAACACCTAGGTTCTTTTCAGGACAGAAGTACAAGATCCAGTATAGTTGCCTCCATAGGGTCTCCTCCTTCCCCTTGCATAAATACAGGCTTATCTTGAAGTTTACAACTCTGGCCTTCTACCAGTCATGGAGCACTTTGGGACACATATTGCCCTGTGAAAATAGTATGCACACTGACTGTGTACCTAACTTTTGTGTTATACAACTAGCCAAATCAAAAAACTTGGCTGGGAGAAGCCATGTCAAGGGATGTGGGTGCACCTTGGTTGTGTGGTGGGGCTGGCCTGCCTTGCAGAGCTTGTACTGTGGAGAGCGTTTCTCCCTTCCCATCACTGTTTCTTGCTTTGCTCTTCTGACACATCCACCACCTCCATGTGAATGCAAGAAACCTCTTCCCTGGCTGACTGAATGGAAGTGGTTGTGGAGCCAGAGGGGAGTAACAGTGCTTTTCTGGACTGAAAGCAGTCCTGGTGCCTTGAGAACATGGATTGATCATAGCTGGTGGGAGCCTTGCCCTGGCAAATGTTCATCCAAAGAGCAGTGCTGTTGAAGTCCTTAAGCACTTCAGGATAATCTTGCCAACAATTTGGGGATTTTGGGGCTATTAAGCACCAAAGGAGGTCATCAGTAAGTGAAGGTGTATTAGAAGTGAAGTCATAAAGCCCCAGCACCTGTTTCTGTTTGTGGATTACCTCTCTGTGCTGCTGTTGCTGACAGATTTGAGAAGCACTAGTTTTACAAGCTTAAAGATGTGTCATTTTACATAACTGCCGAAAGGAGTGAAAGAAAGGACAAACTTCCTTTGAGAGAAATATACTAAGGAAGTTTGAATGTGTCAAAATTATTTTTCCTGTCAAAGCATTTCTATTACCAAGACAGTAGCTGTACTCAAGAATTAATGCATTTCTCAGTACTTATTGCTAATATATTAATTTGTCTCTGACAGTTATTTGACAAAATAGCCATCATGAGCTTTGGAGAAATGGTTTTCTGTGGGAACCCTATGGAAATGATCACATTTTTTAGTGACTGTGGCTATTCTTGTCCTGAACAATCAAATCCTTTTGACTTCTATGGTAAGTTTGTCTCAGTTGTTTTAGTAAAACAATTTGTTTTATTCACCAAATTAAGTTTTTCCAGAGGTAGAAATGTGTTTGAATTCTTCCCCAACTCTGTAATTATATTCAACTCAGAGAGAGGGCTAGGCTGACTCCATAAAATGGCCAAGTTTGCAGTAGGCCTGAAACACAGCAGAAAGGAGTAAACTACCAATAGAAAAGGAATCTCAACTTCATGAAACCTGTGGATTCCTGATGGCATTTCTTTATGGCTGTTCACTGGATGATGGAAAAAGAATTTGATCCCAAAACTATGGGAAGTCTCATGCTCTTATGGACTCTGTGATGCCAAGCAATAGGAAACACTTGTTGCATGGAGGAAAGGATGTAGAATAAATATGGGATGACTTGAAGCATCAGTTTCCAGAGATTCTGAGTTTGAGGTTTCCCAAAATTTGGGGAGTTGCTAATACCAGGGTGAACTACTGGAACAGAGCATATGGATGCATCAGGAGTTGATGATAGCAAGCTGCTAGCATAAGCTGAAGAGTACTGTGTTATCAATTCAGGATGAAAAAAAGGGTCATTATGAGACTGTGGAAATGAGGCTTGGTTTTGCTGCAGGACATCCATGTGCTTGCTCCATACAGGTACACATTTGAAGATAATGTGTACGTGTGTGTATGTGTGCATTTATGTGTACACATGTATATACGTGCATATAACTCTGTTGTTAAAGCTTATTTCTGACAGTACCAGCTGAGCACTAACCAGGGAATTTGACCAATCCAAAAAGCTGCATTCAGAGGAGGCAGTGTTTTCCTGTTGTCTAGATGGCATCCTAAACTCAGTGAGAAGAGAGGATGGTTGTTGACATAAAGCTAAATGGGATGAAGCTGAAAATACTGGTATGACAGTGAGGATAATTTTGCCTTCATGAATTTGAATAGTCTTGAAAAGCACAGATGATTTGAGATTTAGACCCACTTTTAAAAAAGCTTGGTGAAGAGAGTACTGCATTCTTTGAATGTCAACCTTTGAATGTGACAAGAAAGGGAAAAAATACAGTTTAGAGCAAAGAATCATCAGAATATTTAGTCTTTGGAAAATTGGTAGTTTATATTTTTTATGCAATTTGATGTGAATGAAGGGACAGATTCTGATATCATTTACACCAGCAGAGGAAAATAAATCCTATGTATTGAGTGTGGATTATATTATTGAACTATCACATGTGTTTATAAAAAAAATACTAATGCATGGTAGACAATAGCTATTTGGTCTAGTTGGTTGTCGGTGCTATAATTCTTTTAAAGCAGCCCTGGTTGCCATTTATTTCCTGTGTCACTTCCAGCAAGTCACACTGGCCAAATTTTAAAAAGTGTTTGTGTGTTTCAGATGTTCATATTTGCAAAAGTGAAGACTTCATTTTGGATATGTTTACTATTAAAGACAATTCTGATAAATTCTAGCTTTTAGAACACCAGGGAACTATTAGTAAGCTTAGTTCAGGTTTTGAGAACAGATCAAGAATCTTGGACAAGGTCTCCTTTTCTCTTGTTGAATTTGTATTTTAAAGTTGAACAAACATTGCAACACTGAAATCTAAGGATGAGAGAAACCTTAGGAATAAATAAACAATGAAGATATCTTACCAGATGTAGAAGAGTAATTTAAAATTCCATAAGAACAAATATTCCTGAGAACAACAATCCAGTTTTTGAAACCTTAGCTAATTCATTGCTATTAGGGAAAAGGGACATTTCTAAGGCATTTTAGCACAATTGCTGAATCTGCATTTGTGAACATAGAACACACAAAGTTCCCATCTGCCAATGAAAGAATTACCGGTGTTAGGAATATGTTTAGGTGGATTTATTAGAAAGGAACGTTAACTCTGTGAAGTATCTACCTTTCCTAAGTTCCGTGGCAGTCAGTAATATTTCCTTCAGCTTGGGCTGAGCCTGCTTGGGGAATTTTGCCTGCTGAACATCCTCTAACTTCGTATTAAAAGAGAAGCATGTCTGCAAAGGAGGTAGGTGAAGCCCAACAATGCAGCTACAGCTTTGAGCTCTGCAGGGAGAAGGCTAAAGGTCTGACCAGCACACCACTCAGGCCTTGCATTTCCAGATCAAGGCCTTGAACTGCAGGGTCCTACAGAGGCCACGAAACACAGATTTGTTGTGGCTGCACAGTAATTCATTCATGCTGCACCTAACAGAAGGGAGGAGTAAAAGAAACCTTGAATACTTTCAATGGATCTTTTCTTCTTTGCAGATTTTAGGATGGAGGCAAAGATTAATTAGTTGCAAGTGGAGAAAGATAGGAAGGGAAAGTGATGTGTATATGTAGTAAAAGCTTTGTAAATTTGCAGTGGATCTGACATCTGTGGACACCCGAAGCAAGGAACGTGAACTCGAAACCTACAGTAGGGTTCAGGAAATTATATCATCCTACAAAAACTCAGAGATTTTTGGCAAAGTACTGACAACCATTGAAAAAACAAAGTATATGAAAGATCTGCCACCAATACCACTCAAAAATAAAGACTCACCCAGTGCCTTTTACCAAATATGGGTTCTTTTACGGTAAGACTTTTTTTCCCCTTTTTTGAAGAAATTTTTTTTTCTTTTCTACTAATCTTTCAGGTCCCATCCACACTTCCCCACTGCCCCATATATAAATGCACTTTCTTGGTTGTTTTCATCTCCCACTATACTTGTCCCTGTCTTTTTTAATGTATTAACTTTTTGTGGGCACTGTCTGTATAAGATTTTTTCAAAGCTAAATACCCTACCAACATGTGGTCAGTCGTAGCTAACAAGTATATTGTTGCTGTTTTGTTTCATTGTCAGGAGGACAACAAGAAACTTCTCCAGAGACAAGACAGGCATTATTATGCGTCTCCTCCAGAATCTGTTGTTTAGCTTGTTTATAGCCTTTTTCCTTCTTAGACTAAAGAATGACCTGGTTAAAGGAGCTGTGCAGGACCGCGTGGGGCTTGTCTACCAGTGCGTGAGTGCCTCGCCCTACACAGGGATGCTCAATGCTGTTGCCCTTTGTGAGTTTCTGTCCTGTGTTATGTGCAGCAGCAGGTATTGCTGCCACCATCTCATAAATTGGAAAACGTATTTTTTTGAAGATAGTAGTTTAAAGGATCTTCACGGTTTTAGGCAATGTCAGAGTTGATAGAGAAGCACAAAATTCAATGGAATTCAAAGGAATATGCCTTGGTCCCTGCCTCTCCCTTTTACAGCTGGCTTGTGCATGGAGGGTTTATTCTAAATTGTGCAAAAGACCTTAATTTACCTGTGTGTAGCATTATAAAGGCAGGACAAAGTCTTCATCTAGCTAACATCCTAAGTGAGATCAAAACCAAACACATGAAAAGGATGGAAGTACAAAACTGCTTTGACAACAATTAACCATAATAGGGTTTATGAGCATTATGTGATGATTACACTTTTTTAGAGGGTGTTTCTCTTACAACTGCCATACTGAGAGCAACAGTAGTTTCTATTTACAGCCCTACTCATGTAGGGAATATACACTGCTGTCATCACCTTGAAATCAGAGTACCTCGATGAATTATCCGGTGGCAATGGGATTTCTCATGTCTTTAATTTGTATGTGCAAAAAAGATAAGGCTGTCCTGCACGTTGCCGAGTTAGGCCTCTTTCATTAGGCTTACCAATGTTTACAATGTGAAGGGAGCACGTTTGGCATTTATAGTGGGGGGAAAAGTGATCAGAGTGGTTGAGGCTGAATGTTTCCGATATATTCTCAAGCTTGTCTCTGTACTTCGGGTCATTTTTGCTAGCAACAAGTCTTGCTCTTTCTATTTAATGGTAATTTAATTTATTTTTTATATATTTAATCCAGTCACACCTTTACGCGCTATCAGTGACCAAGAAAGCAAAGATGGCTTGTATAAGAAGTGGCAAATGCTTTTAGCTTATATAGTACATTTCCTGCCCTTCAGTGTCATCAGCGTGGCAATTTTCAGCGTCTTTATATACTGGTAAGCACCTGTACTGTCTGTTGGATTGTCATTTTCTTTTTGTTACCAGTTTCAATTACCATGTCAGCAACAGGCCTCCTGGCATGGCTTCCTGCTATTGTCTCTCAGAATGATTTCAGAGAAAACTTAAGGAAAAATGACAGAAATTTAGCTCTACTCTTTCAGGCAGAGTTAAAAACACTTTCAGAGTAAGTAAGTTACCAGTTCTCTAGGTAACTTGGAAAGTTTTAATGGACCTGGGACAGTTATCATTCTTGTGTCATAGTGAAAGCAGGAAGCGTCATTTTACATTACATTTAGAAAAATAGGAAATAAAAGGAAAAAAAAGAAGTGAGAAAGTCAATCATAGGTATGTGACAGTAACAAAACTTCATATTTCCTGGGATATATGCAGTTTAGCTACAGCATATGAAAGTGATAAAATCTGGATCCTTCTCTTACACCCTTCAGAAAAAGGCACCCTAGTGGATTTCTGATGAGTGTTTGATTATAAAGCTTCCCTTTTTTCCCCCCACTACATTAATTTCATTGCATCATTGTGAAGTAGTATCACCCTCAGAATGGGGTGATGAGGTGGTTCATCTGCTTGTTGCCTTATCTACCATATAGATCTGCTCTTCTTCACTTCTGTTCCATCGATTTCTCACCTGTAACCAAATAGCAAAGTACTAAAGATCAATTTCTGCCCTCCAATATTTTTCTTTCCTAATTATGAAAGGAGAGATGTCTGGTGCACTAAAGTTTGTTTTCCTGGAACAGTTGCAATCACATGGCAATCTATAGTAAAATATATAAAAATGGTGAGCAGGCCTTGTTTGAAAACATGGATGCATGTTCTCTGGTTAGCTGTTGGAAAATGGTAAGTGGATAGACCCTTGTAAAGGAACTGAAGTGCAGGAGCTATTGTACTGTAGCTGTGCATGTTAGTGCTCTTCCTCTGCAACAAGACGCCCTTAGGCAATTTGAAAATGGATGGAGTACAACTGCACCAAATCGCTTGGACTATTGAGTCAGAACTTCTGCACAGGGACCTAGTCTGCCATGGGAATTTTGCAATAGCTTTTTCCCCCCATATATTAAAACTCAGGAAAAAAAAAGAAAGACTATTCTTGTCTTCCTTCTGGTCTGTAGCAGGTAATGAGGGGAAGTGCTCACTCAGCATTTACCTAATCCTTTCCATTTGGGATCTCGATAACTGTCAGCTCCTAGACGGAAAGACAAAAGCCCTGAGAGGAAGATTTGTGCTCCTCCAGATGTGAGAACTTGCATGTATGGGTAGGGTTTTTTCATAGTTTGGTATTAATATTAAAGTTAGCCACTTTTCCCTTTTTCCCCTTAGCTACCTGGGCTTTTATTTCTGCAAGCTGTCAGTGCTGCCTGCTTCAGACAGGGCTCCCTGAGAAGTCTTTTTTTCACAAACAAGCAGAAATTACTCTTCCTCCTGCTAAGTGCTGTTTGTGACTGCTAGTGAGCTGTTGGCTGAGAAAACAGCCATTTAGGAAGCACCTTTTCAGGCTCAGTGACATGATCACTACTTAACCAACAGGAAATTTTTATGGGCAGAGACTTTGCCCTTGTGCTTTGGCAGCCTCAAACACAACTAACAATAAATAGTGTGGTTCCAGTTAATGGATAATGTTTGCAGATATTAGCCTCCACATATCTTTCATATATTGCGGTTATTTGGAAGCCATTGGTGATGTGTCAAAGTGATTTCACAGTGCTCTTAGACCTCTTAGGGCAATCAGTTTCTCTGTGAAATTTTGACAGTTGTATCTGTGCAGGACTAAACTTTCCTGGATGGGCTAACTTTTTGAGAGGCTTTAACAGCCTCTGGCATGTGTTCCTATGAGTCATTTCTCACAGTTTGTTTTTGTAGGGTCAGGCAGTTGGGTCAGACAGACCCAAACTCTTACCTGATCAGACACAAAGCAGGTCTGGCTGAGATCAAATAGAGCCTCTTTTACAATCAAGTGAATGTACTGTGTGTATGCAGATTTTCCTAGCTAAAGATACTTCTGGGAAATGTTCTGACAGTTCACATCATGCTACTATTCTATTACTGTAATATTCTCTCTTTGAGCTGGATTTTTTTATTCTCTCTTTGATCTGGATTTTTTTATTCTCTCTTAGGCTTTCTTCTGTTCTATCCATACCCCAGATTTACTAGTCTGTATCTACATAGCTCTGTGTATAGTATTAAAGCAGCTCAGAGAAGGTGATTCTTTTACACTGGGACTTGGAAAGCTGTTTCTTCTGCATCAATCTGTGCTTAAAGGTTGTTAAATGCCTGCTAGCTCATTGAGTGTTTAACACTTGAAGAGTCAATGTTCATCTATCTATTTATAAGTTATTCTGGCATTATGACAAACACTACAGGAAAGCCTGGGAGAAAATTAATACTTCTACTTTAAGACTGTATTCAAACATGGTGGATAAAAAAAAAAGTTACAGGGCCTTGCATTGAGCAACAGGAAAAGAAAATTAAATGTGGAATTGCTGCTTGTTAGCTAAGCAAAGCATGCAGTCTGCACCTGGTGTAAGGCAATTTTGGTATGATATATTTTGGAAAAAGAGTATTAAGTCACCATGTAATAAAAGGTTTTGTCATCTGTCATATACACTATAAGGCTGAATTGAGCTTACCAAGCAATTGCTGGCCTTTTTTAACTTTTTAATCTTTAGTACAGATTGAGAGGACTCTTTCCCTTTGCTTAGATAGGGAAAAACTGGAAACAGCGTGTTCTATTAAAGAGTGCAGAAGTATGGAGGAAATTGCAATTATACGAATTACATGGGTGGCAAATTAATTAGCCTTCCTTTTAATTGATTATATCTATATTTACATTTGCATGCACAGTATCAGAAGTGCAAAATCCCATCTGTTATTTATCTGCATAAAAATGCTCTTTAACTATGTGACTTACATGAATAACTCTCATTGCAAAGACTCTAAAAGGAGAAGGATGTTAGTTTAAGGAATTGTAAAAGCCATGGTGGTTGTCTTGAAACAACATGGGTTTCTACAACAGTTAAGTCTTTGCATAACCCTCTTTAATCTAGTTGGAGGAAACCTAATATATCTGCACTTACATCACAATATTAAGTGCATGTCCTTTATGTTAAGATTTCAAACAACACATTAAGGATTAAGGCATAAACTGTTCACTTAAGGAGCTGTAACTGCAAAAAAACCCAAAACAGAGACAAAAATACTAAACTTTCCAAGTTTAGTACACAAACCTTGTTTTTTAAATGTTCTTTTGCTCATTTTTGTACAGGACTATAGGGTTGTATCCTGATGCTTCCAGATTTGGAATTTTCTTTGCTGCTATTCTAGCGTCTCATATAATTGGTGAACTACTAACACTAGTTATACTTGGCGTGGTTCAAAACCCAAATATAGTCCAAAGTGGAGCAGTGCTACTTAATTCAGCTGGTGTGATAGTGGGAACAGGACTAGTAAGGTAAGAAAAAACTTATTTTGTTATAGTGTTAGTGTTAAAATGAACTACCTAAAGAAGAGTTTTCTGAACATTCTATATTGCAGAAGTCCAATAATGCACAGGTAGTAATGGAAAGCAAGTGCAACTGTGCTCCTTCAGAGGTAGAACTACCTAATCTTGTTAGACCTTGTACTAAATACACAAACCAGACACTTAATATCTTTAGATATCAACAAAGATATTGAAGATTCCCCCACTTTTTGCAAATAAATTGAAGATAAAATGGAACAATTAATATCTATAAGCTCACCTGAATTCTTTCACTGAGGCTGACATTATGATGTGAAATGCTGTCCTCATTAAAGCAGCCTACCAAAAAAACCATTCCTACAGCTTTTAGTAACTGCTGAAACTTATCAGACACTAAACACTGATAATGATAGTTTAAAAAAACAGTTGTTCTCAACTATCTTACTAGTGTTATTCTCCAGTTAAGGCAGTAAATTTTTCAGTCACTTTTTCTACCTGTGCAGATTGAACTAAATGAAAATAATAAATAAAAAAGTAATATAGTAAATATTTGGGAAATTTGTGATCCACTTGCTCTATTACTGTGCAAATAAATGGTTTTGCATTGCAATTGCATGAAGTTTGAACAGTTTTCCCCTTGTAATTGTCAATAATGAAATTACTGGGGGTTTTTTGAGGAACTTAACCAGAGTAAATGTGTAATTGTCAAATGAAGTTTTCTTTATATGTGAGCAAGTAGGAGATGCTCACCTGAGTCCCTCCCAGTGAAAATGAAGAAAGCCTAATGATGTCAAGTTGTCCTTAAGAAAACCGTATGAGTCTTCACAATGTTGATAATGCTTTGTCTCTTCAAAGTAGATCCCAGCTAATACTTATCAAATAAAGTTAGGTTAATGTCTATTTTTTTGGTCCCTGACTAATTTCAGGAAGTTGTATGTTTACAGTGACAGGACAGTTATTCCTGCTACCATAGTCTAATGCCTTAATGATAACTTTTAAAAGCATTAGAATGGTTTTTAACCTTATTTTACAGTAGAGACAATGCTAATTAATATTTCAGATTAATCTTCATAGGCAGTGAAGGATGTTAAAAATAGCATTGAGACTTGGGTTGCTGGGCTTTATTCTGTTAATTGTTTTTTTTTTAATTATAAAATCTTGAAGTATTTTAGGTGCTGAAATTGCCCAGTCTTTCTAAATGTTTCTTCTCATTATTTTTGCTTCATTCTTGTTTTGTTATTATTGCTCCAGTGAATTGCTATTCAATGTTTTTTGGTTTTGAAGGTGGAGGGAGGGGTGGTGGTTTCTTACTTTGGAAGCAATACATTTTGGCAACTAAGGTTTATACTGGGTCTTTTCATTTTCAGTTTATCACTGCAGTGTGAACAGCAAACAACCATAGAATTATTTGTGACTGTCCATAAACATGTCAGGGCTGAATGTCATGACACTGTACCAAAGCCAGAGACAGCCTTCACGGTTGTCTTCTCACTTAGCTCTAAAAATGAACTTTATGTTTGAAAAACCTACAGGTACAGACAAGAACTGTTTCTGTCACAGGCTACAACCAATGATGAGAGCTTGTTTTCATTTGGGGGCTCTTGGAATTTAGCAAAAGCCAGTTTAACTTCTCTGTTTCTTTAAGGACCATCGAAGAAATGCCAACACCTTTTAAACTACTCGGTTTTCTTACCTTTCAAAAATACAGCAGCGAAATTCTTATAGTCAATGAATTTTATGGCTTAAACTTCACATGTGGTAAGTGTTCAAAAAAAGAAGTCCATTATAAATAATTTTAATGAGGTGTTGATGGTTATTTTCCTTCTACATAGGTGTATCTTGATAAAATAAAGATAACTTTTGAGGTGTTAAAAAATGCTTATTAATTACTAAAGACTATAATGCCTCATCAGCAAGCTAGACCAGAGTTTGATTCTTTTGTTTCAACCATTTCTCATTCTTTCACAGTTCTTCATCTTTCTCTTCTTCACCTGTTCTCTTATCCTGTGTTTGGGGGCATTTTGGAAATTAAGTTTGTAACAGGCTGTGAAGTTTTTCGGAGCAGTGTTACGCAAATAGAAGATTAATAGAATTGCACAATATAAGATCAAACATCAGTGCAGGGAGTACTGACACCTGACCAGATGTTTCTTTTAATAGTAGTGAGGCTTCAGTTCAAGTACTGAATAATACTAGTAATAGTAGTGAGTCTTCAGTACCATGTTACCATGGTACATATTGAGCAGCTTGGATCTGTCAAGCTGTGCTTTGCTGGTTGTGAGCAAGATAAGCAGCAAAACATTAGAATCAATCAGGTTGTCAGTGTTGGTGGCTAACATCCATTAGTGGGGGTAAAACTTACAGCTTTGGACCTATCCTAAGATATCTGGGGCTTTGTAGCCAGGTGTCTCTGCTCCTCTCCAAGGCTATATATTCTGTACCCATTAATCTCTCTTACCCTCTTTATTACAAGAGCACAAATAGCAACTGCTGGAAAATGAATCCATGACTTTGTTAGTACTAACAAACGGCTTGTTTTTAATGTGCCCTTCAGATAGCCACCATTTCTTGAATTTTGGAACCACTCAACACATCTGAAGGGTCTGTGTCTACCACATGGGGCACCTTGCTTCTTGAGGCCCTTCCAGATAATGTGTCTGAAAAGCCATAAATCTTTGTTTGGCGTAAACAAAAGACAGAGCTCCTAGTGACCCTTTGTTCTTCCCTTCAAAAAGTGTGGCAGGGATTAACTGCAGAAACATATGAGTTCTCTGTTCTTATTCCAAAGTGCTGACAAATACTGATGTGGGTATAGTTAATCATTGAAATTATATCAGGGCTGGGTGTATTAAATGCATGAGATAGACAATGAGGTCTGAGTTTTAATTTTACTGACTTATCTACTAAAGAAACGATTTTTTTCTTTTGACAGGTGGAGCCAACAGTTCCACTGCAAATAATGCTGCATGTATGTTCTCTCAAGGCACTCAGTTCATTGACAAAAACTTCCCTGGTGCCTTGTCTCGGTTCACAATCGATTTCCTAATACTCTATGCTTTTCTACCCGTACTTGCCATTATGGCACTTCTAAGCTTCAAAATAAGAGAAAGAATTATTGACAGGCAATAAAGAGGTAGGAGTTCCAACAATGTCTAAGGCTACACTTGTAACTTTATTATGGCCAAAGGCTTAAATTATTGGATTTTAGATAGTATTTAAGCGATTACACATTCACCTCATGTTTGTTTCCATCTTGAAAAACAATGTTCTCTTAAGAGTGTGACTGGCTTCCAGATATTGGTATTCCCACTCCTGTCCCAGATCAGCCATAATCAACAGTATTTCATGTTTTAAAGGACTTTTTGAATTTAATTTTGTTAGCTGTTGCTGGCAATTTCTAACAATGTAGCAATGGTGCTTTAATTTTTTCCTCATTATTTTGGGTTTTAACTAGGGTACAACTGCTAGTAAATCTCATTTCTAGGTTATATTTTAAGTCCCATGCTTTGTTTTGATACCATTTTAGGGATTTGTAGAAACGAAACAAACCAAATACGTGTAAAGACAGAATGAAGAAGTCACTCCACTTTAATCTTACACACACTATACAACCAATGAGTGCAGATCTTGAAGCAGTATCAAAGTTACCCAACATGTTTTTGCCTTGTGAATGATGGTAAATCAGTGAAGACAGTTATTTATATCTATTCCTTCTTTCAAGTTCTAAATCTTGTTTTGAAAGCAGTTTGTGAATTACTAGAAAACAAATTTGTTTAATAATGTTTTGGTTTTGTTTAATAAAATATCAATTAACTATGGAAAAACCATAAAAGTTGTTTGTCAGTTCTTGGAAGCAATGTCATTTTTGTCTTCGGAAATTATTCTTGTGGGCCTCTCAAAATTGAAAGCATAAGAGACACAGAATTCCTACATTTTGTAACTTATTTTCATGTTCAGTGAAGAAATTATTTTTTGCAGAGGGATTGCTAAAGATTTCTTCAAGTATATTTGTATCTTAAAATTCCATAATTACGTAATTAGTTTTCTATGGTAGTTTTGAGATGAGGCACTTCATAATGAAGAATTTTACATCCAATTCTCAAGGTAATGCAATATTTTCACTTAAGTGTGAGGCTAAGATTTTTTTCTAATATTTTTATGTATAACATTCTGAGATACAAAAGTTTTATCAGTAAAACACTTGGTAAAAAAATATGTTAAAAATAACAACTAACTTTAAAGAGCTGGAAAGACACCACATTAAAACTAATGTAGTCTCTCACATTTTTATGTGCATGTAGGGTTGATTTGGTCTGCCAAGTGACTGTTCAGACATCTACTCTCTGACAAGTCTTAGCTCTCAACAGACACCTCTGGCTTTATTCTAGATTGCCTTGTATATTCTCAAAACAGTCCATCTCATACTAGGGAGGGTGTCCACAGACAAGAACCATACCTAGTTTACGCTAGGATTTCACAAACTTAGGCTGAATGTGAGTCAATAACAGTTCCAGCACTAGCCAAATATCTGTCAAATTAATTAGATGACTTCCTAGCATTTGAATATATGACAGAAATGTCCATCTTCTAAACTCTGTGCAAAGTTATTACAACATTATACTTTCCAAGACATAATTCCTGTACTAAGCTATATGATTCTGAAACAGAGATCTGAATCCAGGTCAAAGAATGTTTTACACTTTATTCTGCCAGGTTTTTATTTATTTATTCAAATATATCAAACAATGAAGCAGGTATTTCTTAAGATTTGCTTTTGACTTATACATGCAAAGAACTAGAAAAAGATGCCCACCACACTCTACTACACAGTTTCATATTTTGGGTGTGAAAACTTGTTTATATTTAAATACATGTCTAGGGCAGAAGTATTTAAAAATAAACCAAATAATGTGTTATAAAATAGGTAGAACTGACTAATGCCAGTCTTTATGTTCAAACTCATATGTAAGCAATCTAGAATTCTTGTCTCCCCACTTTTTAAAACTGTGCCACTGTCGAGATTCACAAATTTGGACTGCATGAACAGCTCTATTTCTGAAAAATACCAACAAGGATGTTTAATAAATACTATTTTTGTAGTTTGATAATATGTATTTTCAATTGTTTCAGATGAAATTGCTCGTGTAACTTTAAAATAATTTTGTAAACGTTGTTAAATCAAAGACACCTACGGCAGCTCATCAAGCGGAGTCAAAATCCATTTCTTTCCATGATTTAGAGGCATTTCTTTTGTACTGTTCAAGTTCCTAAAACAGAAACATAAATACATATTAAACTAATCTCCTCATTACTAAAAATTGCAAGAAATTTAAATTTTTAGTTGGCTAATGTATGTATAAAAACTTTGCAATGTAGAAAAAATTAAATATTAAACAAAATTATACTAAAAGTGCTATAAATTTTGTCACATTTGCTCTCATATAGGGAGAAAGATTTTATTTATTCTTGCCTAGATACTTTACAGGAAAGAGAAAATTTTGTCTCTTTTCTTAGACATTCAGACTGAGAAACCAGGCTCCCTATGAACGTACAGAAATATAACAATACACATTTTAAAAGGAGAAACCAGAAATACCCATCAGAAACTGCTGTTTCACACACATTATTTAAGGTGCTGCTGTTTAGTGGATTGCAAGTTAGCATCTGCATGTAAAAATGCAAACCCAAGGTGGTTATTAAAATTATCCATCTTTTAGCTAGATTATTAAAAGCAATCAGAGGCTTAAATTGTGGAGGTATAAAGCAAGCAAATTAGGTATGAAAGATGAGGCAGGCTATATTTTGCTACACTTGAGGTCAGCGGAGTACTAGCAAGGCAGACGACCTCATTTCAGTCAAATGTGCTACTGGGAACTTTGAAGCCTGTAATAAGAGGTTCTGTCAACATTACTAAACAATAGTTTCCTCTGCTGAATTTTATGTAGTGGTGTGTACTGTCAGGAATTATTTCTGAATATTTATTTTTAAGCAAAAAAATTAATTTAGGAAGCACTACAATTGCTTTTCATTCATTTAAAAGTAAGGCTTGCAACGTATTTACAGGAAGATGATGGTCTAATAAGGTACTGCTAGACCTAGGTGTGTACTGCTTGCAAGACAAGAAAAGTCACTATATTTTATTTAGATCAGAAAAGAGGTGGACATAAACCAGTGATTAGAATAAATGTAGTGCAGACCCTCAAAAGTGGACATGTATTTTATGATTATTATTTTTATTTTAATAGAATAAACTATATTAATATATAGAATTCCATATTTAATAGAGTATTTTAATATGATAGAGGAAGGGAAGTCTTGCTGTAGTTATGCAGGTACCAGAACTGACAAAAATAACAAAATTCCCACCTGGTGAATTTAATATTAGTATTAACTCTCAATCCAGCACAGAGGGAGGAAGAAGAAAATAAAGGTCTGAGCAACAAAGCAATCAATTTTCTTAAGATTGTATGAAAATAATAAATGAAATTTTCTCTCACGAAATAACTTCAGCAGCTTTGTCAGCAGTGCAGAGTTTTCAGAAAACACCACAGATGTATGAGCAGTAAGAAGATTTCTAGTTAGTGCACATTCTTCCTGATGCTTGCAGGAGTCTAATTTTACAGGTTTTTAACTCAATAGTTACATTAGAACATACTGTGTCTAGTCTAAATCTAGTAAGTCACATTATTAGATACAACTCCAGTAGTACTGAGCTGTTCTGTCTCTAAGCTGGTCTTTACTCAGTATTTTCACTCCCTTATTATTAATATAAAGCAATTTTGATCTTGGAACATACAGATCTGTTGGAAACTTGCCAACAGTTAGGAATAGAAAGAATACTGTGATATTTTAAGGATCACATGTAACCTGCTTTATGCTAAGTAAGTAATTTCAATTGTAACAACTTTCTGGAAGGCTTCAGGAAGAGGTAAAATTAGACAATGAAGTTTTACATATAACAACAATACTGTCTGGGGGTCATGTCATGTCAGGTGTTGGCTAAATAATTAGCCTTACAGACTTATCATCTGACTAAACTATTTCAAGAGAGAGGCAGATAATTTAGCAGAATTTATTTTGCTGTAATTTTAGCTAGCCTAGAAAGCAATTCAGTTTAAAGTCAATTCAAAACAATACAAAAATGCAAACTGTCAAACCACAGCATCTATTAGGACTGTACAGCTTTTCCACTACATACAAAAGTACAGAACAAAATTATAAACATTTGGTTTGGATGTATATCTAGGTAAGGCCAACATTTAAATGATGAGCAATGAAAGAAAAAGAAAAATGGATTAAATAGGAGGACATTTACCAAAAAAAATAATCTTTAACAAATCTCGGTGATTCAGGAGGAAAAATGCTGTCAGGAAAGTACACTTTCTTAGTTTATGCGCAAAACAGAAAGTAAAACACATCCCTGTAAATCAGAAATGTAATGGAAAAATCTTTCAAATACTGTTTCAAGATCACTCCAGAGACCCTCTTGGAAAAGGGCACCTTCCTGCTCATGAAGTTCTATACTACAAACATAAGCAGAATTGTAGAATATACTGCAATGATGCAATCAGCTAAGAGGTCTTCTCCCCAAAGTGAAAGAAGGTCCTGCAAAAGATTATGCCTTAAAGTACTCCAAAATCTTCATGCTAGCATTATGCTATGTTTGTTTTGTGGGTAGCAAGTACGGGGGCAGAGATCAGATTTACGAAGAAATAACAATTGCAATTTAAATGTGCTTTCAGTGTGCTCTGAATGTTTAAACATTATTAGTGCTAGCAACTTATCACAGATATCTCAACACTGGCATAAAGTGGATTTAAATTTTTTTTAAGCCTTAATGCTTCTGTACTTCTGTGTTTCTGTAAATTCTTCATCTGTCAAATGGGGAAGATCACACCTAATCTCAGAAAGGGATTGGGAAGAAAGACTTAAATGATGTTTGTGAGGCACTCAGATAAGATAACATTACCACACATTCTCAGAGGAAAAAAAAATTAATACTTTTGTGTTCATTGAAGTGTCTGAATGGCAGGTTGAGAAATAAGGTACATAAAGAATAAGGATGATGAAAAGAAATACTGAACAATTGAGTTGAGACATCAGCAAAATAGTATATGATCATGTAATTAAAGACAATACCATAATGTCTACAAACAAGAAGGAAAAATTAAGATTGTAGGAAAAGCCTTAATTGTTGCATTTCCTCAGTTCTGAGTGACTGATATGACTTTACTTTTCATGCAGCTTCTTACTAGAAGTGCCCTCAATCTGGAACATGGTGAAAACAACCAACTACTGAAATACTGATTAAAAATCTTCAGCACCTGGTGCTCTGTAAGTTGGTTTAAAAATTAAATCTTTTTAACCCATTTGGACATGCTTTCATGTGAAAACAAGAAATCGTGTTCTTGGCAGTTGAGTAAACATCCTAAATTACTTTTTCTCCAGATTATGAAGATAGCACATCTCCTCCTCTGGAGAAAAAGAAAGGTGGTACTGCTTTGTTACCCAGGTAGGTGCCTGTCACACTTCTCTGCCTGGTAACACTGGTCTGACCAAGGAGGTTCATGGCACAGTATGCAATTTTCTGTTTCATTGAATAAGACTGAAATTGTCTCCTGAAGTTCAGCAATATGTTCATGTCATCAAAGTATGTTGAAAAAACCTGGCTCTCATTTTATTGGCCAGTCCAGTCCCCATCTCAGACAGATTGCTGCAGATCTGACACACAGGTGACACTTATCTGAGTGACATGGTTAATTAGGCCCCTCCAATTTTAGGGGAAATAAGACTATTCTTCCTTGTGAGATGGTGTAGAACCTTCTTGAATTTGTGCCCTGTTAAAGTCTTAAGAGTTACAGCCCTGTTCTTTAAGATCTGCTGCCATTACTTCTTGTTAGCTGACACCAAATGGCACCAGGCATCTACTTGTTTTGGAGTGTACATCAGTGGCATGAGGCTTCAGCTAAAACTGGCACCAATCCCTAAGTAATAGCTCTGTGTAACAAGGACCAGTCAGTGTGACCTTTGGCACTGCATGACCTGAGTACCTGTGTAGTCTCTTCAGTTCTTCGAGCTCAAGGTTGGCTTTATCAGTTGCATCAATAAACGAAGCTGCAGTCAAATGTCCGGATCAAAAAGGTCCAAGTACCCATTTTGAATATTAGCAGTGAAGGCATAACAGGAAACAAAGAAAAACCTCCGAAAAGACATCTTAGAAAACTTATATCTGTGACACAGAGCATTTCCAAAGGAAACAGAGCAGACATCCCCATGTGCCATCTCACTGCTACAAACATTTAGAAGGAACTAAGGAACAAAACTTTCATGCCCCTATAGGTGCTTATATACATAGGTGGTGTATGTGTAGCTCTGATCAACAATATTATTTTAAAAGATCTCACTCTTGTTCAAGTTATGTGTGTACCAAAAATGAAACTTATGTGACCTTAAGGCATCAAAAGCCAAAAAGCTAAGAGGAAATGGAGAGAAATGAATGACAAATTTGCCATGTTGTTTATGGATGAAGAGTTAAGCAAAAGCTAGACATTAAAGGCCTAGTAACTATGCAAAATGAATGTTTTTCTTGAATCTTGAAAGCCCTGTGCAAAGAGCACAAAATTCCAGTAAATCCTGGAGAGAATCTCCTAGTTAAGAATTACATTAGAAATGTAAATTCCAAAAGGGTCCCTGGTGCTGTATTCTCTCTCTCAGAGTTTAACTGTAGAGAATAAAAAGGCAGTAAACAATTGCAACAGCACTATTTGATACAAACCTGTACTATGTACGTCTGTGGGGCAAGAACTAGGAAAAGCATTCTGAAAAGGCATAGTTGAGAAAGACGGATGTGCTCTATCTTGAAGAAAGGCCTCAGAGAGCTTTCCAGAGCAAAACCATTTAGAAATAGAGTGGCACATCTCATAGTCAAATCTGAAAATATTAAGGAGGAAAAATAATCTGGTCTAAAAGAAAACACTGCTGTGGCTGAATTCTGATAAGCTGGACTTTAAACTTCTACAGCCAAAAAGCATCTCAGATAAATACTTGCTGACAACGAGTACCTGGGAGTCAGCTGGATACTTTCTCAATTCTGTACTTTTCTTTAAAAAAACTTTTTTCTAATTTTATCCTCGAGAATTCGACCTTTTACTCTGCTGGAATTCAGGTAACCCCTTCAACCAAGGTTACAAAGTTGGTAATTACTTATTTTTGTATTGCCACAGTTATCTATAAATCTGTTACAGTATTATTGAGCAATCCTGACCGAGTCAGTCAGGTATGCTGGTTCTACTATCAGACGCAGTGACAGGGCTGCATTTTGTTTCTGTTGCTGGTTTTGTGTTTATTTTTCTTTTAAAGCTTATCTTTGAGATAAACAAGCAAACTGGTTATCACCTAGAGTCCAAAGTAACATTAATTAACCAAAAGTAACCAAGAGAAATGATAACATGAAAACATTCACTGTTATCATGTGAAACTTTAATTTTGCCTTATGTCCCATGATTTCATTAGTAACATGTTGCATATTAAACATCTTAATATACTGTTCCTCCAACAGTAGATACCATGAGACTATATAAAGAATGTGAGATTTATGATGCATTTAAAATGCTGCTTTAAAAACAGGATTTTTGCGCCACTTTTCATTTAACTGGGAAATAGAAAGACACTTCAAAAAACACTGCAACTAGAGAGTTCTTTTCTTTTAGATGTATATTTCTATCTTGGTGCATTTCAAATTCTTGGAGTATAAAACATTTTAATAATGTGCAAATAATCTTGTAAAAATTGAACTTCATAATAGAGAAACTTAGGAAATAGCTGCAGATAACAAAAGTAATTTTCTCTTTAATGCTCAAAGCTACACTGCTTTGCAATGCCCTTGAACAGATTAAGATTCTAAAAGCCAGTCTCTTTTGTTTAAAACCAGAAAATTAATAATTTCCTGTATGATTTAATCAATGCATACCAATATCTTCTTTTACAAGACATTATTATCTAAAAATAACAAACCTAGTACACCATATAGCTATTTTCAGATATGTAGATATATACTGAGTATGAGATTGTATTATAAATTCCAAAGGAAGCGTGCTTTACAGATTTTAATGATTTTTAAGACTGCACTTGATGTAACGGAAATTCAGAACTGATGCCTACATTAACAGGATATTACAGGTAATGTGCAAGTTCAAAGGCTGCAAAAGATTCTTGAAATTGCTTTATTCTTTGGATAAATCTTGGATTGATTTTAACAGACCCGTGCCTGTGATATCAATGAAGACTATTACACACAGTACTGCTACTCAGGTGTTGTTATATACTGATGGCTATAAGGCAATGTTTTAACCTTCATCTAGTTTGCCACAGAATTTTTCTATAAAAGTAATTCACTATTAATCTAGAGAAATGCAGAAATACTTCAAAATTAATAAGAAAAATAAAAGACCCTGTCCCCAGTAGAGATCTTCTAGAATTCAGAGATTAAACCATGTGGTTAACAGAAACAAAAAAAAGTAAACAGTCCCCACCCCAGACCTTGATATTGCTTCCTAGACTTTCTGTTAGTCAACACCCAAATGAGAGTACAGGGTGCAAAAATGAAGAAATGACTGCCAAGAAAGCTTCAAAGTTTTGCTTCAATATTATTTTAGTGAATTAATTCTGGAAAACAGAGGGAAAATTTGAATTATTAATTTCTAAAGAAACTCAAAGCCAAAACTTTGAGATGTGACAATGCTCTACCAGCTTAATATCTACCAATGGAAAAAAACCCAAACACACAACCTAAGCTGAAATCTAAAGCTGAAGTTATTTAAAGGCAAAAAGGGGAAGTACAAATATATTCTACAATTAGTTCAGCAATGCTGGTGGTTCTGGAATACCTGACTGTGAACAGCAGTTGGAGAATTACCACATACCTGGTTTTTCTGAGCTCTCATGACATCAACTTCATACTCAGCGTATTGTATATCCTGTGCAGGGTCCTTGGTATCTTGTAAATCACAAAAACTCTAAAAGAAGAAAAGACAACAACCAAATGATAGAATTTATCTTCTGTTCTTTTAATAAGAAAATGCCACACTGTAGATCTAATGGAAGTATTTGCTTTTAATATGAATATATTAAAAGCTTGCATTTATGGAAGAATTTTGTGCTATAGGACACAGATTAGTTAAAAGAGTTCTTCTATTAGTAAAATGATGAGAAAGTAATAGTGCAGCTAGATCTTAAAGGAAAGAAAATATACTTATTTGGTAGTTGTTTATTACTCTTGAACGTCAAAATGAAAATATCTTTTCTGGCCCATGACATTTGGGCATAGTTGAGGTTGCTCTTGCTAAAGTACTTAATATTCATGAATAGAACTTCGTTCTGGTTATCAGAAGCCTTACGTCAATAGCTGAGAAATTGATTACTGTCTTTTTGCCAAATATCTGAATTTTCATTTACTAACCTTGAGGGAACTATAACTTTAATACCAAAGAAGCAAATACACTAATAGAAAGAAACACTATCAAATCCATCAAATAAAGAGGGGTTTTTTTTAAATGTTGTCCTGCACATTTCTCCTTATTTATAACAAATGGAAAACAGCAAGAAGGCAATCATACCAATGATGGAATAAAATAAAGCAGAATTCTACTTCTTAGATGAGGCAACAGACAAAGAAATTTACAATGCATAAAAACAGCTTTAATGTTTCAAGCATACTTTGGAACCAAAACAGAAGATTGGTAATCTATTTGGCAAATCTTTAAATCTTTAATTAGACTGATATGCCAATGAACACTGATGGAGCTTGCAAGGTGAGAAGTGTACTCATTTCTCCAGCTGTTTCAGGAGGAGTTCAGATATTATTGGGGGAGAATAGATGTTTGTTTACTGTGTTTTTAAAGGCTATGAGGAAAAACAACATGAACAATAACTGTTCTGTACAGTTTCTGAAAAGTGAAGTTTAGTCTTTATCTTATTTGGGCATCTTATAGGGAGAATGGCATCTTTCCTAACTACTAAATATAGGGAGCTGATTGAAGATGTAGAAGCTCTTAATCAAAGGACCACTGCATACAAATCTGTATGTTTTAAAAATGTATTAATTAAAGGGAACTGCTGAGTGAGACTGAAATTCCAGTCAGTGGACTCGAAAGACAAAAAAATCAGTAAGGATATTACTTCTATTCTGTAAAAAAAGCAGCTGTGCATCTGGCATGTAATAAATACCTACTTTGGGAGGAAATGTTTTCTCAAATACTTTTTTCCACAGTTCCAAAGGTGTGTTTGCGCGCATCTTTCCAATATCACTATCCGAGGCAGGTGGTGGTCCTAAGGATTCCAGCACAACATAAGACAAGTATGTTGTCATAACAGCATAAAATATAAAATAATTTTGCATAATGATCCATCTAATTTAGTATTTCATCTTCTACATTGACAAGATGCAACAAATTTGAAAAAAACATTGATCTCCTACCATGAAATGGGCTGAGAGGCATTGTACATTGTATTTTCTTTTAGATCTAAGCTTATTGGTACTTTAGTATTTGATGTAGTCCTGATATTTTATTAAGCTACCTAAAAAAACTGTACAGATAATTCTCAATAATATACTGCATCATGATTTTAAAATTTATAAGCCATTTCCTTCAATAACTGATAATGATGTGCTATGATTAATTTATCTGCTTAAAATGTTTTTCTCATTTTCAAAACAAGTAATGAACAGGGAATGTCCTAACCTATTTGGCTCAGCGAATCCAGGCCTGCTGGTATAAACAGAGGTTTGCTGGGGTCCACTGATACAGATTTGCTAAACAGGAAAAAAGAAAGTGTATCAAGTGAGCATTTAGCAGTCAATGAAAAATTACATTATTCTAGCTAAGACTAGAATCTTACTGGGCTTTGCATACAAATACGTGTAAATAAAAAAAGTATTCGATTCCTGTGGTGACCAATTCATCGCTTTGGGGATCGCAAACAAAGGAGTAATCACTGTCCTGTGCAAACATAGGCAGTTGAGTATCAGGACTCCAAGTCCATGAATAAGAACCTTTCAGAGATCATATTTAAGAAAAAAAAGTTTTGATGATTAAAATATTTTTATTAAGTAATTTTAGACTCTAGGCAAGACATTTACTAGTTGAACAATAATGTTACCTTTTATCATAGCCAAATGCCAAGTGATTAATAAGAACACGGGCTTTCAGCAGCAGAGCCTCAGATTTACTGGTAAACTAAATGAATCAGAAAACAAAATACACATTATAACCTTCCATCATAGAAATATTAAATAATGCCATCTACAGAGAGGATGGAGCCTTGCTAATTCCTGACCGCAATAAATTTGGTATATGTTCACTGAATTTACTAGAATCTCACCCTCCCTTTCCAAAATATGAGTGTATTTGTTACTGAATATATTGATCAAGAAAGATTAAATGAACAATAGTATAAAGATTAAAGACTGAATTTTAAAATACTGATTCAAAATCTTTTGTCCAAGACTAATGAGTTATTAAGGTTTTAAATTAGATTAAAAACTATCCAGAATACCATAAACATTTAGAAATGTAATGAATAACTATATAATTGTTCTCACATCATAAAAGCAGCTTCAAAGTGGCAGAATGGCACAGATTTATCATAAAGCAGTTCTCAGAATATATTCCCAAACAACATGCTTATTCCTGTCTAAGGGCTCTTGTATCCTAATAGATTCATGTCTTTGAGAAAGAAGTCAGATCCCTACTGTGGAAAATTAATTTTCTCCCACACATTTCAATGAGAACGAGGATTTAGCAACCAAAGAGTTTTAGGATTCTAGTTTTTATTTAATTACAATAATGCTTAAATACTTTTAAAAAAATAATCAAGACAGTTATATTCTCAGTTAACAATAGACAAATTCATGTGTTTACATGGATGCAAAAGGACATGCTGTGATTATAAGAATTTAAAGCAAGCATAAGTTGTTTTGCTAATCACTAAGCTACTATTAAATATGATTTATTTAATAAATTACAGTTGATACAATTAGACCCATCTTCTGATGCAGAGTGGGCCCAGGAGGCAGCATTTTTGGACTGTGAATCTCAGCATGCTTGTTTCTGCCTTAACAATCACTTTTGCCCATTCTCTTTTCTTGTACCAAAAATAAATTTGCCAAATACACAGTAAACTCAAGACAGGAACTAAGTTGGCTACCAGATAACTATTAGCTTGTATATGTGTAGCTTGTTTATTCACAAAGCATGTCCATCCATACTCTGCCAATACCTGTACCTCATTAAGAGGTAGTCTTACAAAGAAAGCTACTGTAAAACCAATTAAATCCCATTTTCTCTGGGAGTTTTACATTTGTATGTTTTTAAACATAGTTTTATAACAGAAATACTGTTCATCTGCTCTATGCTTAAACAGAAAGTGAATATACACACCACTAATGATGCTCCATAATAATGTGAAACAAATCGAAGTGTCTTGCTTATTATTTTCCTCATTTCAGAGTCAAACTCCTGAAAAAGTTGATATTGGAACATATATGTAAGAAACAAACCCCAAAATATTACAGTTAGAACTTTTCTTTTTTTTTTTTTATAAACTGCAAAGCATTTAGTCTACAATATATGAGGCTTTCAGCTGTCAGCATAATTATATCTTAAGACAGAATCAGTAACAGCCTACTCTGAAAAGAAATGTCACAATTTCCCTTTGTTTCTTTTTCACAGAGGGAGCCTAATTCAGGCAATATGTTAGTCCAGAAAAAGTTTCTTAATTGGGAATGTGTATTCAATTTTCAATTACTTTGATTTTGCTTTAAATTTTTAGAAGTATAAATGCTGCCTACTGTAAAAATAAGGATTTTTTTCTTTTTGTGAAAATATTTAAGTAAATCTTGGGGTATATGCTCCCTAAAGTCTAATACCTGCCAGACTTGAAAGGTGCATAAAGATATCTTTTCTTCAATGTTTCTTTAATATAAGATCATACAGATGGCCTTCTCTGGATAAAGTGGGTGAAAACATGGTCCAAATGAAGCCTGCAGGAGTCTGTCCATAGACTCCAAAGGAACTAGGTTTTTAAGTTGTGCTTATTACATGAGAGTCACTGACTTTTAAAGAGGTCATGGCTCAGCATAAAGCTTCGGTATGAGAGAAGGCAAGTCCCTTATTAATAAAGAATTAAGTAACTCCAAGAGTCAGCCAGATATCAACGCACTATGCAGTCATCCAGAGAAGCGCAAGCTGCCAGCATGACTCCTGAAAATCCAACATACTGTCCTAGCGTCTCATGATCAAGTGCTGTGAGTATGCATTTGTTAGGATTTTTTACATTCTGGGAGAGAATCCAGCAGTACTGTGATATTTTTTCCTCTCCCCCATAAAAGATGAAATTACTTACTCCCTTGTCTCTAAAAGCTTAAAAAGTACTTTAAAAGAAGTTCCAGACCAAAATGATAGTTTACTGTTTGTGCTGCCACAATGACCAAAAGATCTGATCAGCTGACTTGAGAGACACCTCTCTTTCACTGCCATATACTTAAAGCTGCTGTGAGAAGGGACACATGGAGCTGGATTTCTCTCATTATAACAGTAAGTCATCAACATGCTGTTTTCTTGCTTCCCCCTTTGGTCTGCAGCCACTTGTGTCTCAACATTTTCCAAGTACATCTCAAAAATCATCAGTTTGGGGGTGTTTTGTGAAGGAATGACAGTATGCCTTCCTTAATGCTCTTGGATGGAAATATTTTTTTTTGGTGGTAGAACACTGCCTGGCCATACTTTTATTCAAAAGATTACTATTACCTTAGTGAAATTTTAGGGTATAAAATATGTACTGGGAATATTTTAATTATTTAAAATGTATTTAAGTATTACTTACATGAAAAATATCATATTTGCTTCCAATTATCACCAAGGGTATTGGAAAAGGGTCAACTAACTCATAATCCTATTAAAAAGATATAGGACAGTTAAGCAGTGTAAACAAACCGAAGAAGATTACAACTGTTAAAACAACTGAAATGGGTTAAAACTAATTCACAGAAGACAAGGTTTTCAAAACCTTAAATTTGATTAATAAACTTTAATGTAATATCCATACCATGTTCTACAATTTTCCCATTTTCTTCATAAATGGTCAGGAAATAATCCTTGTGAGCAGTCAGAACTCTTACTGGCATAAAAGGGCTCTTACACTACATACTCTAGCTCCAACATTAGATGGGAAGGGAAGAGAGGAAAAACTTCATGAATTCCAGCCAGACTGGATTACTAGACTTTTTGACACATTCCTTGCATAATATATAAAGGAATACAGACAAAATCTCAAGAAAAATAAGTGGAATGATATGCATGTGTCACACATTTTTCCTTCCTACATCATGTTTTCCAAACTCTTAAAAAATATTTAATATTTTCCTGTAGTCCATATGAAGTGAGATAATCCCCTCATGTGTTCATGCAATTATTTATTCAAGCTGCTTTGGTTGCAGCAGAGTGGAAAAGAGATGTGTTGTAGCAGAGGTTGGCCTAAAAGTTATCTTCTAAAACCAGTTATTTTGCATACAGGTTAAATGACAGGCGGGATGTTGAAAAGAAGCTGAACATACTGAAAATCCTCTTCTTGGAGAGGAAAAATAATGGCTTCACTCATACACTGTGAAGGCAAGAGCTTTGAGCAAAATTATTGTAACTTAAAACTGAGTATATAGAATACAGAACTGAAAAGAATAGTTTTAGTTTCTTAACTAAGAGGAGAAATTGAGATAATGTCAGAAACATTAAAACAAGCATCTTTGGACTGTGGAATTAATTTTTGACTATGGAGTACTTTAGGTACATCGAGCTTGTTTAAACAAAGTCTGCAACTGATATGTTTTATCATCATAGCCAGAAATTCTTCAGCCAAGCCAATGGAATATATCTAATCCTTAAAAATATAATCTAAGAATTTCATCGATTCCCATTTATCATAAAAATATGTTTAGCTATAAAAAGGTAAATAAAAACCTGCATAAACTCTCATTTAATGTGACTATAAAACTCAGTATTTTCTCCCAGAAAACTGACACATTTTTTCCTTGAACAATGATGAAAGTAAAAAGAGAACCAAGGAGTAACATAAAATTTTATTTGCATTATTTTTGATAGTGAAAGATAAATAGAAATTCTAGTTTAGAAGGTATAATCGTGTTCCCTACAGGGCAAGAATAACAATTCTCAACAATCAATGGCATTATTATTTTTACTTTATTTCAATAAGCTTGCAGTTTTCTGAGATGTAAACCTCTATATGTAAACTTGACACTGTGGTCATGATTTATTGCCAAATGTGGTCGCAGGTATTTTGTTTTTGTGTATTACCTTCTCTAAAAGTAAAAAACAACATCATAATCCAGATCTCAAACCCTATACTCTAAAGCTACTGAGTGTTGCATATGTCGCTTTCTCATAAATTTTGAGTTACTTTTAAATTTCTGGGCTTTATATGCATTTGCTGTATTACAGCATTTTATAGAAAGTACAGTAACTAGATTTACATGCCAAGTCTTTGAATTGTTGAATACTTATTTATGCATTATATATACACAACATTTGCAGAGGTTTAATGCACAATGACTTTTCAATTCTATTGCGCATAATCTAGTTTAGCTTTTCCAGAGATTTAGTTAGCAATTATGTTTAAAGGACTGATGTTAACATTTCTGAAACTTTATAATTTAATTAGTTGTCAGATTATCAAAAGGCATTGAGTTTGTGATAGACATTTAAATAAATGCAAAGTATATAGTCATGTTGATGGCTGTTATAACTATATTCTTTGCTTAAATTTGTACCTTCAGCTAGTCTCTCGCTAGATGACTTTTGTACATTCTAGTTTTCATCTTCATTTTAAAAAGATGAGGGGGAAAAAAAAGCAAACTGCTACTCTAAAACTATTTCTTTTGATTGGGGTAACATGCCATAACAATCACATTAGATATCTAACAAAAAGATATAAGAAACCTTCTTTCCTTGTTTCTGCTCTTATTGAATTTTTATTAAATTGCTATAATTTTCCAGTGAACAGGTTCATCTACATCAAATGGATTTTCAGTCATGCATAAAAATCTAAAAGAGTTGTTTATGATTTTCAAAAGCATTATCTTTAACTGTATAAAGGCCTGTGACATCTGGAGAAAATATTAGAAGTAACTTACTGGGTGATCCCTCTGCAGATTGTTCCGCATCCTCTGTTTAAGTTCAGCAGCTACTTCAGGATTTGTCTTTTCTAGTTTGGCTAAAATTTTGTTCACATGGTTCCTGGTGACCTGCAGAAGGTTCTCCATAGTAGTCCAGAGTTCATTGGGTTTGGACAGATCCAAAACAAGAACTACAGCAAAGGATCTATTAAAAAGGCATTATTTGGTCACATATTTAGTGCATGAGGCAATCAACATTTTCATATAAAACTGTACTGTACTACAAATGTGAACAAACAAATGCTGAGAGAGAATTAAATGTGACAGCAAAGGAAGATGGCTTCAAAGGATACTCTGCACTCTGAAGAAACCTCTCCCTTGTCTCTTTTTCAGAACTATTATTTTGGCAACTTTCCATCAGAGATCGTGGGGGGATTGCATGTATCAAACATTCTTTCAAAGCAGTAAAATATGCAAATATCCTCAGCCCATATAGCTCCTTCTTCCTGTAAGACCAGGCATTTATACTGTCATGTATCCCTGCCATCTCATAAACTCTACAATCCCAGATGAAGCAATGGTAGCAAATAGTTAGGATCTTTCCTAACTATTAATATATTGGAAAGTTCTCTACTTTCATTATTTTTTTTGTAATATGAAAGGGAAATGAGAAATGTTTTACATCTAATCTCCTTTCCTTCCAAAACCCTGGTCCCCAAAACACTAACTGCATTGAAGTGCAACTGCAAAGAATATCACAAATGCAGTCACTTGAATGGAGGCAATCATTCTGTCACATTCCAGCCTGACTTGAAAAAGGGGATTCCAGACCAGAGTGGTATTAGAAAGGCTACAAAGCAAAGTGAATGTCCAATTTCACTTTAAAATGCTGTGGGTGGAAAAAAATCTGGAGAAAAATCTCTTGATGAAACTAGATACAGTTCATGGAACTTTTAAATAAGCAAATTGCTTGACTACAGAGAGATGAGAAAGCCAGTGAAAAGCACTTATACTTAAGTTGAAATGGTAGAATTTTTTTACTAGCATGTTAAAATATTGCCTTATGAACAGAGGTTCATTGTTCTTACAGAATGCTGCTATCCCACCAAAGAATCTTAAGATTATTCACATCACCAAAAAGGGAAGAAAAGACTGATGGAGGTGAAGATCAGTTAATTTAATTTACAAGGGCTGAAAAATGATAGTTAATTTTTTCTCTCCCAAGCTCTTCTAGAAACAAAGAGCTTCACATGCCATGTTTTATTTTTATTGTCTTAGTCTCTCAGCAAATAATGGCATTATTTCAATAGTCAAAACAGTAGCAAATGTACTTGATAAAAATGGTATCCCTCTTTTTCTTTTTCTCACAGAAGTTAAAGCTCACTACCAAGGAAATAAAGCAATGCATCATAATACAAAACTTATCTTTTGATCCTTTTCTCCCCTTCCTTTAAACTCCATCTTCCCTAATCAAAAACCCCATAAAATGCACTCCCTAACCCTCTCATTCTTCATGCAACTTTTCATGCATTTCTTCTTCCTATGCTGTTCCATTACTTTAATTGATTTTTCTCACTCCATTGTCTTAATTTGATCTAAATTCCTGTTTCCTTTAGTTTTCAAATAAGTTCAATAGCTCTAGTCCCTCTTGGAAACATTATCTCTCTGTTACTTGATCTTCTCATTAGATGGTCATTTCCAAAACATCCAGAGATTTTTTTGGTCACAATTTTTTGCCTTGTTTTTTACCCTACAATACTGTCCCTCACAGAAAGAGCATCTGTTTGCATGCAGAAGCAGGAAGCAAGATTTTATTTTTCACATATCCCCAAGTTGCTTTTTCTGCTCTTTCACTGAGCATAAAGACACTATGTCTTCTCTTTTTCTGTGTGTCTTGTTCTATGTGCTTAAGGCCAACCTACTTCCTCCATGTTACCACTTTTTTTTGTTGAGATTACTGCGAACTGGTTTATTAGCAGAAAAGTATGAAAAGGAAGATCAAAGTATCAGTGGTACTACAATGATTTTTAGAAAAAATCACAAATGTTCTATCTTACATTTTGAAAGAGATTTTCACAATAAAAGGTCTAGAGATTTACTTATGTTTGAAGGAAAGCTGAAATTAACTCTGGAATTGTAATATTTACACTCACCTTATGTTGTGGCTAGTGATTGGTATTCGAATGAGTTCCAGTAATGAGGTTCCACCACCTAGTTCCCAAAAATGAGCTATATCTTTAGGCTATAAAAGAGTCACTTTATGTTAGAAACATGTGCTTCCATGCAATACCAAGGAAAAATCTTTATCTGGTAAACAGGCTTTTCATGCAAGTGACTCAGAACAAGAACACACTTCATTAGTATTTTCTAAAGCCAAAACCAAATACAAAATTCTCCATGTTCCAGTAATCCCACATAACACTTAGAAAAACTCCTGGCATGCCTATGACTGTCTTGATAAATGGCTATTGTAAAGTAAAAAAATAAGGAAGCAGCATGATTACTGATAAATGTTTAAAAAAATAAATCAGGTTCTCTTCACTTTCTTTTTGTTTATTGCAGCTCAAGACTAATGCTTTTTGAGAAGTTTGCAACTGGAAAAGTAATGAATCTGTACCTTCAGATTCAGTTTCTGGGAAAAGCTTTAAGTGATTTTTGTCTTTCAGAGTCGGGTTTTCCACTCCCCACTTCAGCAACTGAAACAGCAATTCCCTGCAGCAACAGTTATTGCTGCTGAGCAGTGTTGTGCTGAGGTGGGAATGGGTTCACTATTTCCATTAACATAATCTGCAGTGCAAAGTTTAGTGAGGTGGAGACATAACCCAAAAACTTAATTATTATTTAACATCCTCTAAGATGACTGTTTCTCTCACATCATTGGTTTGTACTCATTTTGCATGTTAAAGACAAAGTTAAAGGCATGCATACTATGTTGCAATGGGAAAATAAAAGCACTCAAACACAAGTTTTTATAGATGAATTTGATTGCTTTGTGTTATAATTTGGTCTCTGATCTACTGTGTTTTACTGAGGGGGAAAAAACATATTACTGATTAAAATACAGAATTAAACTAGCTAAATAAAATTATATTAAACCCCTTTTTGTTTAACGGACAATAAGCTAAAACCTCTAAGATACTTATATATAAAAATAAAACATACTATTTTTATGCATATGTATATAGATATGTAGGTATATACGGTAAATTATACTTTCTGGATACTCACTGTATTGTGTCTCCTTGCCCTTCTTCCAAAGGTATATTCCAAGGCTAATGTTGGTTTTGGAGTCTCTTCCCTATGCAAGGAAAAATAACTTCATTTTGTCAAGATCCTCTAAATAAAGGAAGTTAATTCTACAGTTACCAAATTACATTTATCAGTTAGTTCAGGATTTGGCTTAGAGAGAGCAGTACAGCGAGGACACTTCAGGACACAAGCTCTCAGGTACCGAAGACAGGAGAAGCAGCAGCACCAATCTGGAGAGATGGGCCATTTCAGCTCTCTAATACTGGAGGAGAAGGACTGAAAGGGTCAGATCACAGGTAGTAAAGAAGGGAAATAAACTCATTCATAAGTGACCAACCAGCTACAGAACACATCTGTATGCATACATTATGAATCATCACACAATATAACTGCTATGTAAAATTCTAATCCACAGGTGAAAACTGCTTTTAAATATTTGACACATACCTCTCAAGACACCTCAATATAATAGTAGTCTTTCCCTGGAAATTAAAAACAAAGAACGCTACTGAACTATCAGTAAAGCATAAAAGTTGTATCACTAAATCAAGTTATTTAGCATTCCAGTAATAAAGTACCAGAAAATTGCAAATGCATGTAATTGTTTGTAGCCTTATAGTGGAAACTTAACTCCAACTTTCAGTCAGAATCAAATTATACTACCATTATTATAATTATAAACTAATAGAGATGACAAATACAGTAATAGGAACAGTGTACTTAAAATTAGACACCAGTGATCAGTTTGACCAACTCTTTTAAACTGTTTAACAGTTTTTAATTATTAATAACACATTTATGTAATGTGTGTTTTCCACTGGAATTAATGATTACTGATGAGATGGAAACAAAAAGACTGCTTAAAATACAAATAAAGAACAGAAAAATACATCTTTACTTTGTTAAAATTCAGACACTGACTACCACACCACACTGAAGGGGCTAGCACTTCTACAGTTAACTCCTGTATCACTTTCCATCTCAAAAATCAGTGAATTTTGGGTAAATATGAAAAGTCATTGTATTTTCTCTGAAAAAGTATTTTAAAAATTGCTGATTAAGAGGTTGCACATATACCGGGCCTTCTTAAAAAATATGACTCAGTTCATCAAAAAGGCAGATATTTCCTGGCTAACTTTACAAACAAATGCTAACAGAAGAAAAATATGAAATTACCAATGACCAACTTATTGGACACTTACGGGATAATGAATTAAAACAACCTCAGGTATATAGAATCATGAGTTTGCAATCAGTGGTACAGCATGTTCAAATAGGTCTGACATAATACAGATAGAATTCATTGTGGCATGTCAAGGCCTTGATCTACAACAAATCTGGTATCAGTGCACTTAAACTGGATTGTTACCAGTTAAACCTTTACAAGGGAAAACAATTAAAGAGGGTAGCATTATTTTTGGCAGTGACTTTAAAAAAATAATGAAGCCAAACCTCAAAGAATCAGCACATCATTGATAACCCTAATCATAAACCTGAATTCACACTGTGTGGAATGCCCACTCTGCAGAATGAGACCATGACATATTTTGTCTTTAAAGTTAAGTAAACCTTAACATCTGAAAGTACCAGATATTTTCCCTGACACAAACTATGTTTGAAAGGTGTATAATTGTACAGTATTTAGCATTACCCCATTTTTGTTTCCCATAAATAATATTGATTTTTCCCAAACTTCCCCCTGCTTGACATCATCATCAGGGTTTTCTCTCTTCTCCACTTCAGCTATAGCAAGATCCCACAAAGTATCACTAGTTGGAAAAAAAATAAGAAGAGAATAATTAGAGAAAAACCATGGACCATAATTTCTGAAAACATCTAAATGAAGGTTATTGTGGTATATATTATTATTGTGATTATTTCACATCACATGCCCTCTGCTTGTCATAGCACTTTTAACCAAACCGGGTTAAGTAACATTCCTCAGGTAACCCCAGCTGCCATTTGTGGCACACACAGAGCAAACACCAGCTGTGCGGCGGGAGGCTTTGAGTACTTTTAATCACAGAATCAATTAGCTTGAAATAGAACTCCGAGATTGAGTCCAACCTATGTTCGAACACAACACTGTCAACTAGACCATAGCACCAAGTGCCGCGTCCAGTCTTTCTTTAAACATCTCCAGGGACGGTCACTCCACCGCCTTCCTGGGAAGCCCATTCCGGTATCTGACACCTTTAAAAGGTTTTCTGTCGACTCAGGCTTTCCGCAGGACGCTGCAGGAGGCTGGCAGCCTCTGGAGGCGGCAGCTCCCCGACGCCGGCCCGGAGGAGCCGGGCAGGGCTCGGTGGGCTCGGGAGGACTCCGGACCCGCGCTCGGTGTCCCGGGAAGCTGCTGCTCGGGGCCACGAAGGCTCCCCGTTCTCAGGCTCACCCGTGGTCACCTGCCGACCCCTTCTATGTGGGGTTCCTTACAGCAGCAACCGGCCAAGGGACAGGCGTGCCCTCTCCTGCCCTGGGCCCCGCTCGTTTTCGGGGCAGAGGCCGGAATGGCCCGTTTTAAGCCCGCCTCCCTCTCTCCCTCCCTGCCTCCTTCTCTCCCTCCCTCTCTCGCTCTCTGTTCCAGGCTGTGCTCCCCGGCCGCCGGCTCCTTCTCCCCACGGCAGCGGGAGCGAGCCCCCGACACCGAGCCCGGGCAGGGCTCCCCGGTACCTGGGCTTGGGCATCGCTCGGCGGGGCGCGGGCTCAGCTCCCCGTGTCCATGGGAACCGCGCCGGGAGCGCCGGGAGCTGTAGTTCCGCGGGGACGGGGCAGCTCCCGCCCCGCCTCCGGCCCGGCCCCGGCGCTGTGCTCGCCCCGGCTGCCTCTGTTTGCAGGGTTCCCCCGCCCCTCTGCCAGACCCAGGGTGAGCGCCGAGTCCTCAGGAGACTTCGACTGTAGCCTTTCTTGTGAAGGGGCAAAATACTCCAGCTATGGAGGAAACCAGGGATGAGTAAACAAGTCATAAATGAGTCTTATGTGACCTCAGCCTTAAGCACTGGCTCCTGATAAACTAGTCATGGTCCCTAAGTGCGATTTGTTAGTGGTGGAGGGAATGAAATGAGACCTGAGTAGTTCCCTTATACAGAACTGCTGTATAAGAAAGTGTAATTATGTTAGAATAATTATTGTGTAATTATTTTATTGTCCAGCGGAGGGCAGCGAGGGTGATTGGGAGACTGGAGCATCTCACTTAGGAGGAAAGGCTGAGGGAGCTGGGCCTGTTCAGCCTCCAGAAGAGACAACTGAGACGGGATCTCATCAATGTCTGTAAGTGTATGAAGTGGGAGTGTCAAAAGGATGGAGCCAAGCCCTTCTTGGTGATACTGAACAGTAGGACACGAGGCAATGGGCAGAAACTGATGCATAGGAGTATAGGTAAGATCCACCGGAGTATGAGGAAGAACTTCTTTACTGTGCAGCTCACTGTGTACTGGAATAGATTGCCCACAGAGATTGTGGAGTCTCCCTCACTGGGGATATTCAACAACTGTCTGGATGCAATCCTGTGCCATATGCTCCAGGATGACCCTGCTTGAGCAGGGAGGTTGGACCAGATGACCCACTGTGGTCCCTTCCAACCCTAGCCATTCTGGGATTCTGTGATTTTGTAGTTACTGGGGCATACAAAGTAAGATGCTGTAACAAACAGGGGCTAGATTATTTCAAGCAAGATCTATCAAAAATCAAGTCCAAAAATCATGTTAGGCTTGGATCAGAAAGTAGCATTTAAAGAGTGCAGTAAAACAGCAGGATGACCCTGAATATGAAAGAGATATAGGATGTCCTACATCAGGGAAGTGACCCCAAAATCCAGGACAACAATTACAGCTACCTTCTGTAGCTGAGTAGCTGCTTTGTGTCTTGAGAGAGTGGAGAGAGAAAAACGTAAATGAAATAATTTGATCTGTTTGATCAATGCAAGGAAAGTGGACTCATTCATACTGATTAACACAGATTGAATTTTAACTGTTCCTTCTTCCCTACCCAAAGAAGGCTGATGTAGCCTTCTACTGACCTAAGTAATGCCCATTCTTTACATAAGATTTTTTTTTTCTAAATTTAGCTTGCATAATCACTCAGTTTCAGTTCCAGAAGCATTCATGTGGCTACTTTTGTCTGGTTTTATTTACTTCCAGGTTTTTACATGCATCTTCTAAAGAATTTGCTAAACCCTTATGGAAATCACAATCTTGCTAATTAAAATCCAGAAACTTCATTGGTCAACGTTTTACAGTGCAGGTCATGCTGATGCCTTTCTAAGTGCATTTCTTTCATCAATTTCAATTCAAGAGAACACTTCTGGTATCTTGGTATATATATGAAGCCAATGCTGATCTATAATCAGTGGCTAGATGTAGTAAAAACCCTGGACAAAGCTGGTCTTGCTCTGCCAAAGATAGCAAAACTATGGTAGGAATCACTCCTGGCACTATAACCTAGGCAGGTATTACTGCAATAGCAAGAGTATAAGATTAAAAAGCAAAGTATTTTTGCTGTGATTTACTCACTGATAGAGATGGCAAATCTGGAAGATGCTGCAGTACAGATTTGAGCTGGGAAGCGCAGTGCAAGGGTGTACAATTATTAAGTGTACTGAAGCCCAAATTAAATTAGAAACTGTAAAAAAATGCAAACAAAACCCAAAAAACTTCTTCTTCCTAATTCATTATTACTGAGTTACTAATCGCCTTAGTTAAAGTTAACTCAAACTAATGGATTGCACTACACTGTATGGACTATTAAAGCTCTACCTAAAGCTTTAAGGGCTGAATTCCTTTATGCAAGAATGACTTCCTTCCTTCAGGAAAAATTAAAACCTATAAAAACTGTGGTAGTCTGACAAGGGATTCCAACAGCAACACCAGCCTTTTGTTATAGGGAAATATAGGCTTCTATTTGAAAAAAAAACTTAAATCCAAAATAAGAAAGAACAATAATGTTGTGGATTGTATTAAAAACTCAAAGTTTTATCATTTGCCTGCTGTACTACAGGCGTTAAGTGGGTCTTGCTTGTTTTAGAAATGAGCAGTTCTCTTACACTGCTGCTCAAAATTGAGAAGGCAAAGTGAAGTTCAAGTAATATATTAATTTACATTGAATTCTAAATATTACCTTCTGACTGCTAGTTCGAAGCAAGCACAAAAGGTGTTCTTAAATTCATGACAGAAGGTGAGGTGTCTTTGCATGTAACATTAATGGTAACATTAATCTCACCATGACAATATTTTTAAAACCTAGGTTCTGCAAGCCTTGAGAATGGGAAGTTCTTCAGCATCAGTCCCAGAAGTCCCTGCTCATTTGGCAGCTCCCATAGTATCATCACTGCTGAAGATCAGGAGGTGAGAAAGATCTAGTTCCTACCTGGGCTTTAGTCATGGGTTAGGTAGCACAGTATGAATTGTTCTGGTAGATGGCTCAAGGTTAAGACTGAGATGTGGATTAGTCATAAGGCTTGGGCTGGGTGGGGAAGGCAGATTATCTGCCTGGGCTCTGAAATTTTCAATTTAGCTGTCTTGTGTTGTGTGGTAGCTCTGGAGCTCGATTGATATGGAGCAAGTCCTCTGAGATATGCATAGCTGTGTTTGGATATGTACCTGCGTGTGTAAGAGACTCCACTTGCTGATTCTGTGAAGGGAAGTGTCTGCTTGAGGTTACTATCACTACAGAAACATCACTCTTGCTAATCAAAATCCTGGAAGAAGCTCCATTGTTTAAGGTAGTGTTGTCACGGTAACTGTGATTCTGAGTGCATTTATTTCATAAAAATTAACTAATGTGGCTGTGCTAATGTGGCTGTATGGGATTAATGGTGACCTAAAATGAGCAGTTAGTAGTAGTAAGTCTGGAAAGTGCTGCCATAAAAAGGGAAACTAATGCATGAATTGTTTCTGCAGCAGCAAGAGCTGAACACTAAAAAGCAAAGCAGTGTCTAGAGTTACCTATCCAGAGGGAGGCAGGAAGGTCATACTCTGCTTCATAGATTGTATGCTGCTTTATAAAACAACTGTTTGTAAGGCTGTGATAATGAAAGCTGTTTAAAAAACTCAATTCTGCAGATCAGCTGTTTGTATTGTACATCATGTTGTGTCCAAGTTTAACAAAGATTTTAAAAACTACATGACAAACTCACTACCAAAATGCTCCACTTTTTTTGCCTTCTAATAACAGAACCTGATCGGCCACGATCATTTGAAACTGGACAATTAGGAAAGAATTACTAGCTGGAGTGTTCTATGTTATCATAATTTCACGATGACATGAAGGCTTTTGTGTTTGTAAACTGAAGTTTCTAGTCATCACATTTGAGAAACTTTAGACTATGACCTAAGTGGTGCAGTAGCATCTGTTTGAATTTGTAAACACCCTGCCAACCTCAAATCTGGAATGTAACTATTCTGCTGATTGCAAAGGGGTGTTAATTCCTAAATTAATTTCACCATGCTATCTGTATCACTTCACATAGGGTGCAACACAAAAAGATGATGCCATTGGTGCCAAGTCTTCTGTAGCTCCCAATATGCTTCCCTTGAGGATGGCAGGAGACTGCCTGCCTATGAGGAGGTAAACCTCCTGCTGCTGGCCCTCCCTCATTCAAAGAGAAGGGTCTAGTGCCACAACTACCACCAAGGCATGGAAGTTACCAGGAAGTTCTTTCCACCTTGCAAATGTGAAAGCATCTAGATAACTATGTGTGTTATTTCCTTGTAATTTTCAAGACAAAGCGTTGGCCCACGGTACCATTCATGAAGTGGTGTCTGAGCCCTGTGGACTAAAGTAGCTGTGGTAAGAACTTTGAAGGCTTTCTGAAGAAATTTATTTATCAAGTCAGCTTGCCTGTTTGCCTTTCCACTTAAGACCATGTTCTCTTCATGGCCTGTATCTCCCTTCCAGTCCATTTTAATTCTTTGGGAGGATACTCCCTACCTTTCACAGAGGGCAAACAGCTGGAAATTCCTTTTCTCTCACTATGAGTATGTATATATCTGAAATGTTTAAGTATCATAAACCAGAGATTTTCAATTGTGAAATTACTCCAGTTTTAAGTAATAATAAATTAAAAAACCAAACAAAAAACAATGAGGGCTGGCAATAAGGGATTAATGATCCATGATTATTAGCATGAGCAGAAGTGGAAACTGTAAAATCCATATAAAACAGTGATTTACGTTGAATACCTTCTTTATGGCTGAACCTAAATTATCTATTGGATTATGCTGCTGATCCATTTCAGAGCCTGTAGAAGTAGTTTATTTGCATGGAAATTAAAATGAGAAGACAGGAATTAAAAAAACCCTGGGTGTAATTTCTGTACATTTGACCCTGTGTAGCACTGATGCTTGCAGCTGAAAAAGGCAACTGGAAAGTGCTCCCAGGTCCAATAGTGCAGATGCAGCATTATGTCTTCAGTGTGCAAGAACATTATATTTGTATTATAATATAAAATGTATAAATACAAATTAAAAACAAGAAACATGACTTTTACAAAATAATATTATGAATCAATGTATATACATTAAACATATTATACATGGATTTTATATGTCTCCAAGTTTATTCACAACAGATCAAGCAATGGTTTTCTGTGTTATTCTTGTGTTTTGAATTGTGAGTCATTCTTGCCATCTGCATTATATTATTATTCTGGATTAAAGAAATTAGGTACAGGATCTTGTTTAACAAAACTATACTAAAAAACAGTGCCCATACAATTTAGATTTTTTCAAAAGGCTGGAGCAGAGGGGGTTTATTTAGAAATTGACCAGACCAAGGCTGAAGATTTGCCAAGTAAAATAGCTGTATAACAAAGCCTAGAGTGTATCATGAGAATACTCTTTTTTGTAATAGTTACATGATGTGCTTATGCTTGGGGTTTTTTTAGAGGAGAAACAATTACACACAATTCATTCTTTTTAGTCCCATGGTGCTCGTATTGCAAATAAAAATGGTTCTGGAAGTGGAAATTGTTTTGTATTTGACTGTTCTTTTAAACAAAATTCCTTTTCAAAATGAAGGTTATACAACTGGTATAATTTTGAAAAATAGAGATGAACAGGTGAAGAGAGTTGAAGAGAGTTTGGTCCCTGAGTATATATCTGGAAAAAATCTATTAAAATCTAGACAATTGTTCCCAATGCCAGGGACAATTGTGGGCACAAGTGACCACCAGTAAAGCATAATCCTTAAAGTGGCTCATCATCGTTCCAGTTCAGGCCAGGGCTTTAGTTAAAGGGCTACTCCTGTTACATGTCACTGAAATGACTGTAAACCTGTCCACCTTTCTTTTGTTTATGGACCTGCTTATGCTCTATGTCTTGTACATCAGAAGGTTTTCTACCAGTATATAAACCCTCTAAGGAAGATTATCATGACACATAATCCTTTCATAACAAAGTGGGACATTTAGTTGGTCTGTTGATTGCAAGAAGTGGCTGACTCCCCATTTCCTTGAGTTTCTGTCCACTTTGAGGTGCCAGTAATGCTGGAGCAGAGAGGTGATGAGCAGCTCCTTTCAGCTGATGAAAGTTGTTAATGTAGCTGGCAATCAGTAGAGTGATCTCAAGAATCTATAACAGGAACATACAAAACTCTTTGAAAAATAGTGATGTGTTTTGACTGCAGAAAAAATAGCTAACTTTTTAGAAGTGACAATCACCATCAACTGGAAAAGTACTTGTACTTTGCAAATTAATGATGGGGAGAGAGGAGATACCTAATAAAGCTTTTTTCTACTGCTCCTTGCAAATAATGTAATGTTATTCCTATCAGTACATATCAAAGATACTTTGTCTCCCACAGTCTTAAATGATTCAGAGAGATGGCTTCTTTCACTTTGAGAGAGATTTTGAAGTCCAAAAGATGACACTGAGAAAAAGCTTTCACAATGTGGTCCCTCAGTTTTGCCAAAAAATCTCCAGTGCTCAGAGAAGGGAATAAAGACTTCCCAGAACTTTTTATCCTATTTTCTCTTTGTGATCCATACAAACCTTGATGAGACATTGAGCAGGTTGCCCATAGAAGCTTTGGATGCCCCACCCCTGGAACCGTTCAAGGCCAACTTGGATGGGGCTTTGAGCAACCTGGGCTATTGGAAGGTGTCCCTGTCTAGGGTAGGAAAGGGCAGAAGCAGATGATCTTTAAGGTTCCTTCCAACCCAAACCATTCTGTGATTCTGTAACAGCACAATCTGAGGGAAACTTGAACAGATGTATTTTACTATGCTTATTTATGAAGAGCTGTGTTTTGACCCCAATTTAAATGTGGAATCTTGTATTCTGTTTCATAAATTGTTCTAACAGCAAAATCTTTTTTTTTTAAGAAATGTAGTCAATCTTACCAGGGAAGGAGAGACTTTAGATTTAAAAAACATGAAAATTTCTTTTTACCAAAGGTAAAAATATCCTAGGATTTTTCACAAGACTTTCAGATGGTGTGTTCTACAATTTCACTGCAGAACACAAACATACTTTTAAAAAAAATTATCTCTGGTGCTGATCAAGCAAACAGACTAGGTTTTAGGTACTGCATATAATTTCTGTCCTTAATATCCTTCTTTGTCCTTCTGTGAAAAATCTGCAATGTTACAGAAATGGACATGAAAAGAAACACATCAGTATTGCCACAGTTAGCTCTTACATTACTAATTCTTTTGCACTTTAAAGTCATCTAACAAAAGTCAATAATCTGACAATGCTAGGATTAAAGAAGGTGTTTCATCTTTCACATCTGTTAAGGATTACCCACTAGAGATAGCACAAAAGCAGATGGTGGGAAACTGTTTCAGGTAATATACCAACCTTTGGTTTTGTCATGGCAAAAAGGTGTTTTTCAGTTGTTCTGTCCTTCGTCTGAGCATTGTTAACAACCAACATAAAATCATCTTGATAGCCTCCGAAAGTCATCAGGCTCTTATATGAATATGTAACTGTTAATCGCTTAAAAAAGAAAATTCCCAAAACAAAACACAAAGCTATTAAGGAGGACAGTGCAAGAAAAACAGATTATGACAAATTCCTCTTTTAAAAAATGTAATTATACATATATTTTTCAATGGCATTAGCGTCTTATGAGTCTTGAAATTAACTGAATTTTGGGATAGCTTCATTCAGACCTTCATGATAAGAAATTTTCATTGAAGATGATAAATCTTGTAAGTTTGACCTCTGTTTCTATTCCAAATTAATTAGATCAAAGATACAAGCAGGTTTGAACTCAGGTCTGTAATTAATTCTATTTAAACGAGTCTTGACTGACTTTGAGAGAAGTTAATTTTAGCAATTCCATTTGAAATTGAAGCAGTGTCTAAATAAATGGCAGAGTATGAGACATCTAAAAGAATTTAACTCCAGGACTTCTTTTTGTGCAGCAATATGTAGTTTGCATACACACAAATTAAATTCTGTTCTCTTTTTTCAACATCTCTGATGAAAAATAAATGCTCTTCAAGGCTCCTCAGTTTTCCATGCTTTGGTTGTTACTGTTCAATGTTTAAAACCACACTAGTGGCCTTCAAGTTAAGATTAACATTTAATTTATCATTACAACTCATATTAATTTGCTGCAGATGTTCACATTTAAAATTCATTGCCAGACAGTATTTTTACAATAACTGACAATGTCCTTTGGTTAATAAACCCCCTTTTGCCCTAATTTTGAAATAGTATTTTCTCTACCTCTTGCAACATCATTTCTGATAGCCCTGATCCTTCCTACAGAAAATCAGAATAACCCCTGAAAACTGGGGGTTTCTTGAACAACAGGTAAGGCCTGCTGATACTGTAAACTGGCAGCGCTCTACAGAAATGCCACAGCTCTAGGAGTAGATAGTGTTTCTAGGGCTTTCTGCAGTCTAATGCAAACTCATTTTGCTTATTCCCTATAAAGAGCTGCTGTTTGCTCTCCTCATATTCTTTGTTTTATTATTTATTTAACTGCAAAGAAATGTAATGAAAAGGCCTCTATCAGTATAATTATAAAGCTGAGATTTTAATTTTCTGATATTCAATATTAGCACTTGCTAATAGCACCATGCCATTCTGTTTCTTTGCAGGATATAAATGAAAGCAGGGATCTTCTCAGACACTGCTTTTTTTCACTGATTACCGTGAGTTTTCTGCAACAACTTGTATTGCAAATCAAAGAAAAATCAGAAAAATCAGAGCCAAAAATGACATAATTAAATAACACTGGGTTATATTACCTACTATTAAACAAAAATAATACAATGAAAATAACAATCTTTTAAAGTAACTGCTCTTTGCAGAGTCTATGTATTATGAATAATATTGGAAAATGAAGTCTCCAGGAAAAGAAAATTAATGTTATTGTAAGAACTGTAACTATGGATCTCTTGACATCTGAATGATTAAAACATTAACATTTCATTAAATGATATAAAAACTGTATCTGATAAACAAAAATAAATGCTATGCAAATAATTCATTACTTATTTCTATTGTTAGTGCTATTATAATGGTGATAACATTACAGCATTTTGAAAGGAAGGAATTTTTGCTTTAAGAGAAAGACTAGATAATTTAGCATGGAAGGCTAATGCCATCTTTTATGTAGTGTGCTGGTGAATCTCCCCATATACTCTACTAAAATCTACTTTGACCAAAATAAAAACAGAAAGTTCACTTACCATAGAACTGTAATCCAGGATGCTTATGCCATCCTCATGTACAGCAAACCATATGAAGGACTTCTCATCTGAGGATATTGACAGAGGCTACAAAGAGAAATGTTCTTTAATTACTATTTCAAAATGAAGCAATATGCTTATAATTATTAACTCTCATCTCTTATAGACCTCTCTCCACCCACAGATCTTACATCAGTTCCCTCTCAGTGTAAATTTCAGAAAAGAAATTGAAACAGCTGCCCAAAGCCATGTAGGCAGCCAGTGGCAGAATTATGAACTCAACCTAATACTCTTGAAGCCTCCCCTGGTGCTCAGACCAATAAAATGTATAGTCTCTTTGTTAAAGTAAAAGGCAGGTGTTAACGTTTTTTCATTAGCTCATATGTGTACATAAACAAAGAACAGAGTGCTGATAGAGCAATTTTACATACATATACATATATATAATAGATACAATGTGATTACCTAATAAAACATAAGGCGTGAGGTGACAGTTCTGTTTAACACAGATGTCACTTGAATCAAGAGAATTAAGATACTCCTAAGGTTTAAGAGAAATTGAGAGAGGCCAGGACAGAAGGGAGTGCTCTAAATACCCTTAACAACACTCAGTGCTTCTGCAGTTACCCAGTTAATGATACCTTTTCAATGTTCTACCAGTTATGAGGTAAAAAGGTCTAACATTAAAAAGCTATCTCAAGCTAAGATATAAGGAAATTGAATGATACTACCTAGATTAATAATGTCAAACTAGCAATAAGTGTATTGGAAAGTTACTATCATGGTATACTTAGTACTACAGCTATTACATTTCACCAGTATATGGCTTAAACAAATCAGTAATTTCACAAGAGATTCAATCACCTCATATACAACACAATTGTTTTCAACAAAAAGGTATTACTATTTGCAAATTATATTTATATTTAAAAACCCCACCACTCGAACTCAGTAAAGTTTCTTACTTTTGCTGCAAACAGTTTGGCACCAAAGAAAGACCATTTCCTGGCTACAGTGAGATAAATGCGCACACAGTCTGCAGCACTGTGCCCCCGGAGAGCCATCCATCTTGTAGACAATCGCTGACAAAGCTGTCTGTTGAAATGAAGTATGTAATTTAGTTATTGAAAGGAATTTAAATGCTTCCCCATAGCGAGTTTAATGAGCAAAAAAATAATCCATTTGTTAAAATGATAATTTAAGTTAATACAACAACTATCACTTATACAGTGTTAAATAAATCCAAAGTGTCATTTAATATTTTAATGCACATGAACGTTATGAAGTATCTTCTAATTTCTGTAACGTTATGATTAAATATTGATGTAGCAGTTGCAGCATAAAGGGAAAAAGTCTGGGACAGCTTTTAATGTGTCTCTACAGAGAATCAATCTACCTTTATCAGTACTGAACAGCTATGTCAGTTGTCATTCCAAAAATCCATCCAGCTTAGCACATATCTACCTGTGGCTAGTAGCAGATGTGGAAGATATGTTTGGGTTTGGGTTTTTTTGGTTTTTTTAGTGCACTGCTACCAAAAAGGGTGCTTCTGATCAGCACCGCGCCCTTGGCAAAGGAATACAAGCAACAGGGCAGGTATAGAGTGATCCTTTCCCTGCCACAGACTTCCAGCTCTGCCAACTGGTAGTTTAGGGACTACTTGAACAGTTCAACAGATATCTGACCTATCCTCAATGAGTTAGCCTAATCCAGGACCTCTTATAATTTGTTCTTTGAAATGAATTGCATAAATTTCTCTTTGTTATGCATATACATTTGAATGCCCATGTTGTCTTCTGAGAATGTAATAATGTTACTATGTGCATATGATAATAGCTTTCAGTTTTCTCAGCTCTGTACTAAAGAATGAGGAAAACATTTCTGTGATGTTTGCTGGACTTCAAAACTGCTGTATCACTGACTTTGGATAATTTATGACACTGTTTCGCCTGTTTTCATGTTAGTAGGTGCTGATTCAAATGACTTGAAGGTTATTAATTGTAAATTAAGTGATACCTTACTAGCAAGTCCACTAAATTAACATATTGCCAATCTGACTGGCTGTCAGAGATTGCACATTAGAATAGCAAACAGGTCAGATCCTCATGTCCTTTACTTTCAGTAACTCTTTAGTCTATGCACAGACTTAATTTAGATTTGCTGAAAAGAAAAATAAGAATTTCAAAATCACTGGGTTTTGTAACACTGTGTAGTAACTGGTACAGCTTTTGCTGGAATGTGTGCTTAATGATGGTCCTTTTTTTTAGATTAGAAACATGCAGAGGAAACAGGTTCTTCAGTTTAGCAAGAAAATGAGTTTCAAACACAGGTTTAGACAAATATAGCACAAGAGTAAATTGTACCCAATGACAATTTAAAACTTCCTTGTTTCACTCCTAGATTTTTAGAGAATATGAATCACAAAATACATCTCACCTTAGTTGTTCCTCTGAACAACCTTGCCTGTATCTCTTAGGGTAGAATCTCTCCAAAACTTGTTTTAATGTTTGGTTGGACTTGGACTGGGAAGTAACTTGCCCTGCTGGAGTTGAGAAAGGCCGTTCAAAATCTCCAATCTCTACCTAACGGGAAGTCCATAAAGAAAATTTTTTGTTACTCCAGAGTAATTTTCTAGCTGGATATTATGAACTGTCTTTTAATCTGTATTACCAAGTATAAGATGAAAACCAGTTTGTCAATTAATTTTTCACCAATATAAAAGTTATGCAAGTAATCTTCCTATTTTCTATTTACCACGGAAAAAAGTTAAACATCAAATATAATTTGTACAAATATAATACTAGTTCTGCTCTAAGATTGCTAGATCTCCAGCTAATGCAAATCAGTTTACATTTATTGAATAACAACATCAAGTAACTTTCTTAATAACCTTCCTTTGAACTTTTAGTTTTTTAAATACAATACAGATCTTATCAAGACCATGTCTAGTAAAGGAGTCTTAGACTTTCAGTAACAGCTGTTACTTTGGAGTATTAACTTGCAGAAACCATGTAAGGAATAGTGAATGAAGAAATGGTACATGATTACATGATATTTAATCCAAGAAGGCCTGACTGTGTAAGAGGTAAAGCACGTTTTATCCATAGTGATGGCCCAGCAGCCTATGCTGTAAAGCATTTCCACTTGAAGTCCAGAGTTGCCTTACACAAAGATTCCAGCCCAGTCTGTTTCCTGCACTTGACTGTCAAGCAATCCTGGACTAGTTTGCTTATTAAAGTATTTAACCTGTAAAACTGCTGTGTGAGTCACTCATGCATAAAGATTACCTGGGCTAAAAGAGCTGTCAATTCCATCGCTAATTCTTTGTTTACTGGGAAAAGTCCATTGACTATTTGATCATTTGTCTGATATACTAGCAGCAGCTTCTCTCTGTCTGTCTCCCCATGAACTTGAACTGAAAAATAAAGCCTACAGAAAAGACAGAAAGTTATTAAATAAAGAAGACAGGGAAATGCATTAGCCCTGAGGATTAGCAGTATCTGCTCTGAATGTGACATGTTTATGTCAGCGTCAAAACACATTAGCAGAACAACACTTGCACTTCAACTACTCGGCAAGTATTTAATTTCAGTCCTCTGATTTCAGTGTTGGTTTGTTTTTTTTTTCAGTTCTGCTCATCTCTTAAGGACTAGAAAAAATGAACTATATTAAAAAAAATTCTCCAGTTACACCCATTTACTATTTTTGTTGCAAGCTTCGAGTCAGCCAGTATTTTTCAGATGAAGAAACTGCAGAAACTAAAAAACAAATCTGGGGACAAGGCAGAGATATTATACTTGCTAAACAAACCTATTTTTGTAAGTAAGGCGGACAGTCCTTGTGCCTTCACATTTCCCAGGGTGTTGTTCTTTGGAGGCTTGCTCCCATTTTGAAATAATGTCACAGATCTAGAAGGAAAGCAATACAAAATGGACTTTGCCATGTCTTCATATTTGAAAACACCTTTGAATAGAAATTGTCAACTTATTTTAATACCCTCCACCTATTACATATCAGAAACATACATAGCTTGAATTTTTAAGCTTACTGAAGTATAACTTCACTTGCATTTCTTAGTTGGAGCATTTAATAATTAACATTTTTGTTGTTTGCTTATCCTGCAACACTCATACTACATTGGAAACGAGCCCTAACATGCTTATTTGGAAAGGCCAGGTACTTGATTTAGCAGCAGCCAGTGAATGTGTAATTATACACAGTGAGTTGTTATATAATTAATCAAATGCCTTTGATCTCTGCCTTCTCTTTCTGCTGCGTGCCCGAGTTTTTAAGGTCCTTTGCAGTAACTGCCATAAAGCTGGTATGAAGTTTGTTATAAAACACAACAAAAGTGGTTCACAACAAGCAGTGTAGGAGGGTAGGTGGGCACATGGGGAGGATGTGAAACAGAGGTTCTAGGAGCCCTGCTGGACCTCATGTCACTGTTCCTTCATAAAAGAACCTTCCTGGAAGCAGTAATGTGAGTAGCTTCTAAAGTTTCAGTTACCTAGAAAATAAGTACATCTTTTAGGAATTTTGCTTTCCAGATGGTAATTTTTCTGGTACAGGAAGAAGGCAGATTGTGATGACAAACTGTTTGTTTGTCACTAAGGCCAGGTTGTATTGCACCTTGTAACTCAAAAGTGCAGCTGTGAACACTGGCCAAAGGGTGCAAAAGACTACTTTGGTAGAAGTACAAAAAATTCATTATTCATTAGTTGCTAAAAGGCTTGAAAAATATCTAATACCTTACTAAAGCACTGATTATGTTTCATTTGTTCACTCTTTACTGCAAAGAATTTAATTCTAGCAATAGAGGAAACTAAAATTTACAACAATGACAAGCCTTTCATTGGAAATTTCTTAAACTGAACCCTAAAATTATCCTGTATATAGATAAAGAGCCCTTTCTTCTTTTCCTTCCCCAGGATCTCCACTCCAGTATCAATGACTTCTTGGACCTCACATTGTCATCTTCTGGAGCTAAATCAGAAATGTTAACTGAAATCTCTAAATCCATGTTAGACTCAAATTGCTTTTTAGTTTTAAAGAACAGTGATTAGTAACAGCTTACTTTTTTTTAACTCACCTGTTTCTCTGAATAATATCAATGTCCTATTAGCTTTTAAGTAAACTGAATTAATTTAAGCAATTAAAACAGTGACTTTAAAACAATCTTTCCTTTCACATTAAGAGAAAAAACCTAAAGACAGTTTTCAGCCTGAAAAACATTTACATTTCCTGAGGAGAGCTCTGTCAAATGAAGATACTTCAGATTTTTACATGCAGAGCTCATTAAAGGCTTTTGTTTACCTTGATGTTTCCTTGAAGACAGTGCTCTATATCCTTGCCAGAGGGATCATCAGAAAATAGTGCAAATCCTGACTGAGCTGGTTTCCTCATACCTGTATCTTGGTTCAGGGTGTTCAGAAATTCCTCCACTGTGGTAGAGGCATCAAACCCAACAACCTAAAAAAGCAGCCAAAAAGGATTTTGCTATCAAGCTTATATACCCCCGTTTCCTTAAATTGAAAATTTTGAAATATATTACCTCTACAATAACATTGAGATTGTAGGACCTATTCTATCCTCTGTGAATAACTTACTGAAACTCATTGAAAATTAAAAATTTCCAGAAAGGATCTGGAAAAGATTTCCACATGGTAAGTAAATTTAGTGGAATTTTACTCTATCAAAAAATTATTAACTTCTCAACAGATTGTACCTTATCTTACTTTGTTTACCAAATCAAAATGCTTCCAAATGTAATATTTTTGGGTTTATTTTCTTTGTTTATAGTGGTTTCTTTGCACTTGTACACTTGAATTTCTGTTACAAAATGTATGTAACAGGTATAAGTCTAGTATCTGCACTTTTTGTGACAAATACCACTTGAAAAATTAAGAAGACTATGATTTCTTCCACTTTTCAATACAGTGATGAAACAAATGAGATCAGTTAATAATTTTTCATCATGTGCAACTTCAGAGGGATATTAGATGGCAGATCTACTCTGGCAGATTCAAAATATTTTACAAATGTTGCTTTGTCAGCAGTACATAGGTCAGTAATATACAGAGCCTTCTAAGTTTTACTTCCCCAAATATGAATTTTTGTCCGTTGTTACTAGTATTGAAGCATTTTAGCAAGAGATTGCAAATGGCTTTTATACAGATACCAGTTGCTGATGTTCACTTAAATCTGTATTGAGGGTGTTTTCCTGTATTTGACTTGGTGAAAATATTTTACTCTTGGTAAAAAATGTCTCGAAAATCGATCTTGGACTTCTGTTTTGTACTTCTCAGTGGCTGGCATTAAGATAAAAATCTGCTTCAGATATGAATACAAGAGTTTTCAGTACCTCTATAATTGTTTAGTTGCTGATTCCATTAAAGTAATTTAGTTACAATTAGTTACAATTCTAGTTAAATTAATTACAATTTTTACAAAATTATAAGTTTTTACAAATTAGTAATTTAATTACAATTTTTACAAATTTGGTTATAATTTTTTACAATTAGCTACAATTTAGTTACAATTTTCTTAGGCCTTGGAACTATACAATTTTGACCAGTAAATAACTAATAAGCAGTTACTTCTTTTCTTCTCCAAACTTCAATTTTGAAACCTCTTAGGTTGATTTAAATACATGTTGGGTTTTTTCTGTTTTACTGGGCAAGCAGGAAGCAGTAAGCAATTAAGAAACTTAGTGGTGAAAAGCCTGAAACGAAAAGCTTATTTGATGTAGCCTTGATTTCATATAAAAACTTGCTTTCTGTCTAGGAATACTATGAATTGTTAAAAAAAAATTTTCAGCCATCTCTCGCAGTTGGAAACACAAACCAGGATGTGAAGCAGCATGCATGGAAGCCTGTGAAAAGTTTCTTACAGGCTTTGACTAATGAAGTCCCACAAGAGTTAAGAATGAAGCCATGTTTGTTCTGTGACAAATATGGTTATCCTTCATGACTGATAATGGGAGTTACAGCTGTGCTTCCAGGCCTTCACTGATTTAACTTCCAAGATGTCTGATGAAAGGAACTGGAATTTAATACCTTTCCCTTTCCTTCAGTCTAATTAATTCAGCTGGTGGTCAGGTTAAATAAGAAACAGAACTTTGGTATTTTTCATTCTTTAGAGGTTTTCCTTTTTTATTTTCTCTTAAAGATTTTCCCCCAAACTTTACTCTTCGTTGATCAAATCAGATCACAAGTACCTTGTGCCTGCCATTGCTAGCACTGGCACAGGATGAAACTTGAACCAGGTTTACCTTAACATTTACAGTTCCCTTCCTGATATAATACTTCATGTATATGCTAACAGCCAGGGGTTGGGAGAGCTCAGGTTTTGTGGTCTACATGACATTACCTGATATATGCCATTCATGAAATGAACTGGAATACTAAAGGGCAGCGAATGGTGGTAGGGATTTCTAAGAAGAGTGGAAAGGATTTCCATCCTGGAAGGTCTTGCTTCTCGGTCTCCGTTCTGCTGGGTACGTTCTACACATCGCTGACAATAGATTGCATATTTCCCAAACTCAGTCCTGTGACAAAAAAAGAAGTAAGGCAATTCTTGGGGACTGATCGAAAGGATAGTAAACTGTGAGTAAATCTCTCTGGGGATGCCAGATGGGAGGAGCACTCAGATTTCACGCTGTGAGATTTCCAACATATTTTTTGCATGTGGAATTAGAAAGAGAATTAGTCTACCAAGACCAGCAGAATTGTGCCAAAGATGAACATGGCTCAGGGTGTGTTGTGTAATAACTATCATATTTTGGTTTTCATGGTTTTGCAACATACAGTCAAGAGTTCCACTGCAGAGTATTTTTTGAAAAAAGGGGTAACTTTCCCAAGTGATGCATAGAATTAACATGTAGTACATTTTAGTAGCAATTCTACTCAAATTAATTTTAAAATGTATGTCAAAGATCTGATACACTACAGGAAAGACTGAAAATAAGGTACTTCAGAAAGACTAGTTGACAAGTTGGGTAATAATATTCAGGCACACCTGGAATCTGCATTCTTCTTTAAATGAAGTTTAAGAAGCCAAAGGAATGGGTGCTGGGGCAGAAAGAGTCCAACGCAGAGAGCCAAGAGCTGCAATCCCTGAACAAAAGGAATACATTCACTGTTTTAAACATCTCACAACATAAAACTTCCTGCTGTGGCTGCTGGCCAGCAGTGCAGCTTACTGTGCCAAGTCGAGACTGCTGAAATAGGAATGAAAAAAACAAAACACAGAGAAAAAGCTGACTAAATAAGCATGTCACCTCATTGAAAGGCCAAGGCTCTCTTTCTATTTACTTATGTACAGCAAGTTGCTTTTGGGGCTGGAAATGGGAAAGCAGCTCAGTTTGTATAAAAAACTTAATACACAGGAAAAAAATACTAAGGCTGCAAGGCCAAGCACTATGAAATGAGAAGCCTGTGAAATTTGAATTCAGCTCTCCTGTTACATATATGATGAAGCAACACATAAGACATTTTCCTCCTACCAAGTAGACAGTAACTATTGAAAAAAACAATTTTTCAATATTGTGGTATATTGTTGTTGCTCAATATGTATCCATAGGCTTCACTTAATACAGATTGCTCTCATGTACCCTGGATATACACTTACTAATATTGCAACTACTTTTCTCACAATCAATGCTTCATATTGAAATTTTAAAAATGGTGTTTCTCCATCTTGATTTATCTGACTTGCCTGGTATTAAATAGAAATTCAACAGCACAGGCACAGATATTCCCTATCATCAAATATCTGTACTTTGATGGAGGATAGATCAGCTCCATTGAAGGTATACACCACAGTACAAGTAAGGGTAGAAGACTACAGAATGAATTTAGGACTTAAAAAAGTTTAGTGTAAGGCTGAAAACATTTTACTGAATGTGTTAGCTCTTAAAAACCATTCCAGTGTGTTACAATAGCAACAATATATTTATCTGCATCAGAGGGAAGGCCTTGCCAGTGGTAAGAAAAGTACCAAAGAAGGATTATAGTAAGTTTAAATTCCATCAGCCATACATAACTTCAGTGTGTTAATTGACATGAATGTGCTATGTCTGCTATAAAAGCTTTGTGAATGTTTTGTGATGCACAAATTGAATCACAGAATGGCTTGGGTTGGAAGGGACCTTAAAAATAATATTGTTCCAAAACCCATGCCATAGGCAGGGACACCTTCCCCCAGACCAGGCTGCTCCAAGCTCAATTCAACCTGAACACTTCCAGAAATGGGACATCCACAGCTTCTCTGGGCAACCTGTTCCAGTGTCTCACCACATATCGGATTACGGGCTGTTTCTAGATACTAGGTATATCTGTTGTCATGTTCTACTTTCTGTGGCAAGAGAAAAACATGACTATTACAGAAGCCTTAATATGGTAACATTTTCTGATCCATCTCCTGGTTCTGTAGGTATTGCTCCACCATAAGCACAATTGTTTCAGTTCTGTTAATTTTATGCAAACTCTTTAATATTGGATTTCCTTTCAATTTCAGTTCATTTCATTGTTACATATCTGGATATCAGTGAACAGCCAGCAGTGGACAAAGTAAAGAATTTTAAGTATGCATTTATAACCTAGCATGCAGGGTGCACACAGAACAGCATGGCATACAAGAGGTGATATCTATCAGAAGCCTTGAGTGTATCTGAAATTCCACAACATGGCACTGCAGCTTTTCTTCACACTCATGCTGTTAAGCCATGTGATTTAGCCCACTAAGCTTCCTGATGCAGCACCTCTCTTAGGAAAGAAGCAGTAAAAGAGAATTAAGGAAAAGGCTTCATACATGATGTCTTACTTAACACTTAACTTGAAGACAGCCCATTTTATGTCCACTCTTTAAAAACAGCACAGGCAGAGATATACTCTACCACCAGATACAGGTATTTTGTTGGAGGATAGCATCAGCTTTGTTTCAGGAAGACACAGCAGTAATTAAGGTATTAGCTCAGCTTTTTATCCAAGTTTAAGTAAGCAGATGCCACAGAAGAGCATAGCCTCTTTACCATTCTAAGAAGTCTGTGTAGTTCCTTTATTGCTGCTGAAATTGATACCATTAAAATAAATCCTGGGTTACCTGTATTGGTCCTGCTTGGTTTTGTGGATGTCGACGTCTAGTCTGTTTAATAAGCTGGCAACAGATCTCATTTTGAAGTTCAGGATGTGTGAGGCAGATCTGCAAAGCACTTTGGGCCAAAGATACATGGTAATCAATGGCAGGAGAGTCAACTGCAGCATTTATAAACAACTGGCAGGTCTAGATATAAAATAATAAGCAAGTGAGTTTACATACAAAAAGCTCCAACAAATCTTTAAGATGTTCTGTATAACAAAAGTGTGCTTTAATTGAAGTCACAGTAAGTCTACCAGTAGACTAAAGAAACCCTGCTGGTTCTGCAAAAAAGGGGTAAAAAGCTATGTAGTGAGACTTAAGATAAAAACACCTCCTAGAACCCATGCTTTTCACTCTGCATCTAATGGAGTGAACTATTAACAGGAGTTGCAACAGTTGTGGTGGTATGCAAGTTTAAGGACGTGCTGAACAAAGCTGACCCTCTACAGGACTTGGAAATGCAAAGTCTACAGCTCTCAATGGCAGACAATGTAAAATGCTTGTGCAAGTAGTGAGCACAACACTGCAGAATATACACAGATAAGAAAACCATAACTCAGAGCCATTGATTTACATCTTGGCTTTCCCTGGTATTTTTACTGTGGGTAAGTATGACCTTTCCTATCCCCAGTACTGTCTCAGGAAAGCCATGTGTTAAGCATTTGTTGTGGTGTATTAGAAGAAAGCATATGTAGCACTCATTGCATTTACTCTGTATAATAGTTGATGGAATTTTCAAGGGATATAAGGAAAAATACAAGAAATGGGTGGAAGCCTGATCTATTTCTAGTCTATGTGAAAATATGTGGATTTTCACACAGACTAATTTTTATCAGCAATTGAATAACCAAAACATGACTTGATTTGTTTCTAAATAAATTCCCTATCTGACTTTTAAACTGATTTATATGAAGTTTCAGTAAAGGTCATACAAGTAATCTCTTATTTATTTATTTTAGGTAAGTGTCTGTGATTTGAACTAGGTCTGAAAAGTGATTTACAAATAAATGTACATTTGTTTTATCAAATAAGTACATTTCCTTTTAAACTTCCATGCTGCAGGATTGCAGAAAGTAAGATGGATGTACTTCTTTAAAGTGTTTCAAACATTTCAGAGAAACCATCTGGAAAGTTTGCATACAAGTGGCCATGACTAAACATACAATGCTTCTCTTGAATTCCTTTCTAGATCTGAACCATTACATCAGAATTCCCCAGATATTTGCTTCAGGGAATTTGGTCTTTAGACTTGTTCAAGTTCTGTGGAGAAAATTCATTTGTCCAAGCTCCATGCCTTCCAACTTGTAATTTCTTTCACAACATACAGAAAAAGTAATAGCAAAATTTTATTTTGTCTCTGAAACAGACTTTATAGCCTGAAAGAAGGTTAAAGGCATTGCAGCATAATACTCTCACCTTCCTGGCCTTTAACTGGGAAAGATGTAAGGTCTTAGTGGCAGACAAAATTTTTCAAGAAACTAGCTGTGGCTCAGCAGTTATGATCTGTTATGTGTCTCCTAGTCAAAAGGCCTTTTCACTACTCCTGGGAGATAAACATACATATATTTTTAAAGGTGCATAAAAATCTTTAAAAGTGGATTCAAAAAATATTGTGAAACACTTTTAATAATTTTGCTCTGGAATATTTTCTCCATTTATATTACTGAATATCTAATCCATCTTTTAAGAACAGCTACTTCATAGGAAAATATTTTCTTTTTATTAAAAAGAGCAGTACAATGTCTGTTTTCTATCTCAATTTGAAATACTCTATAACGTGCTTAAACTTAAATTTTGCTTTTTCTTCTGATTATTAAAATCATCTCCCAGATGATTTACACGTATCTATGACAAACTTTCGCCAGAATTTAATTAAAGCAACAGTATTTCAGCTACAGTTTTCTGAATGCAGAAATCTGTCAATTCTCAAAGCTGGTACATTCTTTGGAGCTATGAACTTCAAGACAAAATTTTATCATTCATGATGGCCATGGATTTTTCTACTAACTTGCAATTTATCAATAACTTACCAAATAAGTAGGAAATCCAGAAGTTGAAGCCTAAACTGCTCCTCACAACCGAAAGTGATCTCTTTACATTGGAAGTGATAGTCTTTGGTGAGATAATATGAGGCCATTCTGCTGTTGTCCATTAGTTTCCTCCACTAAAGATAAAAGTAAACTCCTCTTTTCTTTTTTCTTATGTATTGAACATTCCTAGTAAGCCAGCTAATAGCCACTCTTTAGCTAAAATAGTCAGTTAATAAAAAAGGCATCTGCTATGGTTTTACCTTAAATAATTTAATTGCTTCAGTTTGCAAGGCTTCTGATGGCAGTGTTGTAAGAGGGGAAATAATTCCTTCTTTGCTATGGCAAAGGGTAGGATGTCTCCAAATCTGAGAAGCTAAAAGGATAAAATATATAGGTTTTGCAATTAATTCAGTACATAAGTACATTCAGTAAATAAGCACTGGAAGATTAGGATACTGAAATGAAAACAGACTTACTGGCATCGCCTTCCACATTTAATAATTTGCAAAGAAGTTGTTCAAACTCAGATCCAACATTTACACTGGTACTTCCAGCTGCAACTGTCAGATGATAAAGCCATGTGTCCTAAAGCAGAAAAACACAGCAATTCCCTCATTCCATGCTGGAAGGAGCTGCTTCATCAGGATTTTGCTCTCAAGTTCAAACACTACCATGCACTCCTTTTGAAGCCCAAAGGAGTTTGCCTTTGGTTGAATACACATGTATTCATGGTCTCTATGTTACAAACATTAAGCAAGGAAGATTGGACAGGGCACTTTTCATAAGCTTTTACCCTCAGAAATCATATCTAATTATCAGAGCATTCTTCCTTTCCTCTTCCAAAAGCTTACATAAGTGTCTTTTTATCACTGCCAGATCCCGCTAACCTGGGGATAAGGCCAGAAAGCAAAACAAGGTCTACAAGATTACTTGAGAACAATGAAGCAATGATAATAAAAATGCTTTTAACCACACCCCTCATTGCTCCTTCATTTAAGTAGGGCAGTCTTTGCTACTGTTAATCTTTTCAGTGAAAATGGATACAAGTACCCTAAAACCTCTCAGGAAGGTCAGCTACAGGTCTGTCTACAAGTGTTAGTGTATGTGAGCAAAATTCTCCAGTTACACCGTATATGATATTCAGCACCATCTACTTATATAGGCAAGCCTGCTTATTTTTGTCTATTTTAACAAGGTTTACCCACAACAGCATTGATTTGCAGACAAATTTTGATCAATGTTAAAAAAGCAGAACCTTCTCCTTGCTTGTTATATCAAACTACAAGCCAGATGACTTGTAGGTCCCCTTCTTCCTGCTCAAGAAATATTCATATCACAGCACCATACCCATAAATGTGTTACTGAAACTCAATAAAAATGTCCATTTAATACCTTCTCATGTTTGGATCCTATAAGAAGATAAGTGGGTCCTTGGTCTTTGGGGTGGATAACAACAGTGTAATGGGTTGATAATAAACTGCGACCACTAGCTTCATAATCTTCATCAGAATCACAGGATCTATCAACTTCTTCAACCTTTGCCTCAAAAAGCTTGATTTGGCCAAGAGGAAACTAAAAGGAAATATCACAAGTGGTGAGAGAGGTAATAATCACTTCAGTGCACTCTGATTTTATATTATATATTATTGTATTTATTATTATACACAATTTTTTCTTATTCTGCAAGTAGAAGGAAAAACATGAACTACCATCAATACTTATTTGTATTTGTTCATTTTCAGTCTTGCCAAGGAATGTCAGATACGCCATCTATTGCAGAGAGCAAAAGGAGAATGACATGTGCCAAAGTCTGAAGGTGAGATTTTCAAAAATTCTTTTCTGCCTCTGTACATAAGTAATGCAATAAATGTCTGTTAGGGTGAGAGAAGTCATTCTTCAGAGTTTCCAGACCTGGTTCCAAGCAAAAATTCCCTGCATCAAGCCTAGAACTTTAATTATGATCTTGTTATTTCAGAGTGCAGTAATGTATTATTGATGTATCTGTTTTGTTCATGCTATAAATTCAGAAGGCACATTTTTTGTGCGGTAGACCTTCCAGTTGGTTTCATTCTCCAGTCTGATAGATCACAGTACTTCCATGTTAAGTTGTTTATGTAGTTTGCATCATTTATCAGGAAATGTTTTACGTAAAAAAGCCATTCAAGAGGAAATTCTCACAGAAGTAATTATTTCATAGCTGTTAACAACAGGAAGCCACTACAAACATAAATACAGCATGAAATCTTCACAATTGGGTGACAGTACTGACAGAGGCTGACAGTCCTCCTGGCTACTTTATGCAAAGCTCCCTCCTTTCTCACAGCCCCACTGTTTTTTCTCTAGCCATTCAGACATGAGGATGTTCAAAATAATGTTATTTAATGGTGCAGTGAAGAAGCTTTGGTTACTGAAGTAAATTGTCTTGAAATCCCAGTGCCAGTGAAAAGTAGATGAGGCTTCCCAAAAATATTCTTTAAAAATTGAAAATACCATCCTGGAGAGTAGCTGGCACATTTTACTCAATCTGGGGTGGGATTCTTGAATAGTGATTTAATACAACGAGCTATTAATAATACTGTCATTTGAAGAAAACATCACAGAGTGGTGGCCCTTTGCTCCAGTGCCTTCACTAGTGAGGATTAAAGACACATGTGGTGATTTGTATTTTCTGTAGTGCTTCTGAAGCATTCAACTTTTTGAACAAGATAAGATTCTGAGAATCAAAAGATGTCATTTCACATGTAAGTAGTCAAGATTGATTTATTCACCAAATATAACTAAAACACAGTTGGCTCATTTTTTAATTTGAATTCCATTTTGAAAGGAAGCCTTTTAAATGGACTCCATTACTCTATTAACCACTGCAGATTGTGTAATTTATTTCTGCACAGACATTCAGCTACAGAAAGTATGTTCTTAATTAGCAAATTGTTGAACATTAGAAATGAACTAGCTTTGGAAATTTTTCATACATATTCTGCTTACAAAAGCTAAATCCTTATTTTATTACAAGTTAGCAAATTAGTTTCAATTTTACTTTAAAAGGGCAGCAAAACTTCTACCAAATGTGAGGAAAATTCACAAGAATCAGGCATGCTATAATTCCAAAATCTTCAATGGTAAAAATGTGTAAATTCAGAGGTTTATCCGTAGGAGAAATTGCAAGATAATTTTAATGTCTCTTTAGGATGAGCAATAGATTGATACTCCAGTCAGGTGATTCCTGAATCTTGTATTACATTGTTTTAATTTAAATAAAATGTTTTAATGCTATCTTTTTCATATAGTTCTTGGAATAAGGTTTAGTTGAATGTTTAAAAATGGCTAGAAATGGAAAAGACAACAAAGGGAATAACTAGCTCTACATAAAAACTATTAATTACTGACTACATTGTGATTGTTTGCTTAGGACAGAAGTAAAAAAATGAAAATTTCTGGGTATTTTTTTAACTGTTAGTTATAATGGCTCAGTGGACTGTTCCAAAATCTTGTTTCTCATTCACCTCCATTAAAAAGATGTTTCTTGACAAAATACAATGCCTTGGGAGCAAAGGGACAGGTGAAAATTATGACTAGCCAGTTTCCTAGCTCTTGCAGCATTATGGAGGTACAGTGACATACCAAAGAGCAAGATTTGGAAGTCAACTGAGGGATAAAAAGAAGATTTAAATTCTTCAAACCTGCAGTCACTGCCCCCTGCAAACATATGTTAGAAAGGGCCTCTTTCCAGAAGTACATGACAGCTAGGACTTTTCTAATGAGTCTCATGCCTGTCAGAAAGGGACACCTGAACTGTCAGCAAATCAGTGTCCCCGTTCAGTGGGGATGAGATGCAGAACATGTATCATGTCCTGTAGAAGGAGACCAAAGGGTGTGCCCTGGATTAGCAGCAATTAGATACGAACCTTCCAAGTTGACAAACTGTGCACAATGCCTAGGGCAATTGTACCTTAATAAAGCTGTAAGTTACTGTTTAAGGTCTACATTCATTGAAGAAACAAGTAAAGGACCTACCTTGTCTTCTTGATTACGGAAATAATACAGAATTTTTCCAACTAGGGTACACCAAACTCTTTTGGAATATCCATGTTTCACCTGTAATTACAGAACATTAGGAACAAGCAGAGCCAGAGAAATACAGACTAGTTTTCACCATCTCTGAACTTTGGCAATATTGGCAATAAATGCCTTGGTTCAAATTCTTCTCCCAATTGCTAGACAAAAAATTAAAACTTCATAACTCTATTAAGGGCATAAAAATAAAAATATTAGATGAGATGTTCATCTAAAACCTCTTAAGGCCAGTGTTTTCCATGTGACTTTGAATCAGGCCTAAATTAATGGAAGGTAATGAGTAAATACAGAAAAAGAGAGCACTCCACTGAAATCAGGTTGGTGAATTAGCTACTGAAACATACGGTGAACTAGGACACCACTGAAGTGGAAATGGAGAGCTCAACACAGGAACTAATGACTTAAAAAGACAAAGACAAAAACAAAAACCAAATCAAATCAAGTAACTAGAAAAAAAAAATTGCCCAAAGTAGGTGAGTTGGTAGTCCTTCTGGATTGTTCACATTGTAAAGTACTGAGGAAGCAAACACGTGTCTGTTTTACTTGTATTTGTTTTATTGTAGGGCCATTCTTATCTGGCTATTGTTATTAAGAAATATGGAATAAAGCAGGTTGGGAGAAGAAGAATTTTTCTACCTTTGTAAGTAATCCTTTCATGGTTGGCTTGATTTCGGACTTTATGAAGAGTGGGCTGGCAGCCTGTATTTTAAGAACATTCTGTAGTACTTTGATCCATTCTTCTAAGATGTTGGGAGAATCCGCAGTCAGGTAGTATGTTCTTTTTTCTGTGGTCAGCTATGTAGTAACAGAAGAGTCTTGAGCTTCAAGAACTTTATACATTTGACCCCACAGTGATGGGGTTGTAACATATACTACCCAATGTAGTTTCACAGCTTTGGGGGGTTTATTTTCCCCCAAATACTTTTCATTAATGAAACATTCCATAGCCAGGCAGAGCAGACAGACCCTTTCTAAGTCTTTAGCTGAAAAATTCCAGGACACCAAGTTGAGAAAACTCAGTTTTTCTCCTTTCAGATAAATGACTTCTCTCAACCTCAATGGCTGGCCCCAAGACTACTCTCTTTATTTCTATCTTATATGTGATGACTGACCTTTGTAGCAATACAAACAAGACTCGATGTAGGCCTTTTTATATTTTCTGTAACCAGTGATTCTTTGGTTTCAAATGAAGGGCACTTATTATTTAATTCCAAGTCCACACTTGAACTTCCAGTGCAATAAGGACTGGAACAACGAGTTGGTTCTGGGGATGGAGGGAATATCAAAAACACAGGAGAAAAGAAGGCACCTGAATTGTTTGTTTTCCATCACCCCTTTCAATATGGCTAGATGCATTTAGCTCAATTTGACCTTGAGGTTTTCGAATGACATCACTCTGTATGGAAAGAATGGAAAAAGAGTATTTTAAACCTACCAACAAATAGCAATAAATAATTATACAACTCGTTTAAACATTAATCTGGATAAATATTTCCTAGTTAGGCATTGAGTACCTTGTACACCTTTTGAGGAAATGAGTCCTGAATAACTCTCTAACAGCTCAGACACTAGCCCTATATTCTCAGTAAAAAAATCTAATATCAAATAGCAGATAAGTTACATGTACTTACTGGAGATTTGTAATATAGTAATTCGCCTCCTTTAAGCACAAACCACCGTCGCTTCCAGGTCTTTACTTTACCACCCATTTTTAACAGATATCCAGATTTTTCCAAAGGTTCCTGATTGTTCAGAAGTTAGATAAAAAGTAGTTAGATACACCTATATACCTATATCCCTCAGAAATACGTAAAAACACACACAGATATATTAATGACTTAAAAGAATGCTAAATAATAATTACAGTATATGATGGACTTTTAGTCCAACAACAAAAATTTTACAAGCATCAATTAACACAAATGCTGTGCACGTGGGGTAACTAAATAACATCCCTATTTACAGTTATAGTACATGATTTGCCCCAAACTATACAAAAGAATGAAGATGATGATTTCTGATTTTACTTTCTAATTATTTATATTAAACAAGGAACAAAATGAATATAAAATAAATATATGTTTTTTCCCAACTTCAGGGCCTAACCTACAGACCAAATAAAGAGCACTGTAATTCAGAGCTCCTCAGAGACAAACTTTTAGTGTGTATACCTGTAGAACAGAGTTCGCAGTTTTTGCTCTGTGAAGAAAGCTTAAAATAATTTTCATCACCAAGCAGTCAATCCACTTGTATGTTAAGATACTAACTACTAACAGAAGCAATTTAAAAACTCCTGGGGACTGACCAATACCCCATAATGGTTTGGTTTCTTTGAACTGTCCTTGCATCTCATGCTACTTATGATTTCTTTGATGCATAAAGTTTTCCCTGTATGTGGAAAATATAGAAATGTATTAGAGCACATAGATTTCCACTGATAACTTCACCTCCTTCTTGGAATGCCCTTCTACTTCCCCCAATATTCAAATAATAATTTTAATCTGCTTTTAGTTTTTCATATGCAATCTGATACCAGACCTGGTTCCGAGAAAGGAAATCTTAAATACTTTGAATTCTTTTCTGGAATCGTCGATCTATTTTCGTTTATTATATAGAAAGCTCACAATTACCCTCCATTTTCCTTCAATAATTACAGTCTTATATAATTAATTTATTGTTGGTATATTTTGGTATTTGTACTCACAAGGCAGCCTGTGAGTCAACAAGATTGAATATAAAGATATAAATATACATACAGCACCACGGGTGGACTTCTTCACAGAACTTCAGTACTCACATTTTTTCCATTATCACTAGATGAGGACGAGGTCTTAGGAAGTTTCTGCTCTGGCTCTGAATAGTCTGTATCTACTGAATATGCATCTGGAGGAATAGCATAGTCACTTTCCGAGGTCACAGAAGACAGAGATGCACCTGCGGTAAATGAAGAAAGATAATTCTTTATATATTTTTTTATTACACTAGAAACAACTGAGGTCAGAACACCCATGCAGAAAGAATATCTGAATAGGATCTGCAGGCAAACACATGTATCAACATAAATCTATCAGGAATCAAGGACTTTTTAAAATATCAGCACACTGAACTATTAGTACAGTGCTAATATCTGATTCTCATTCATAATTAAACAGTTTAAGTCCCTTGTGAATGAAATAACAAATAAATGTCTTCTATATATTATGATCTTCTCTTATATTACCACAGCTTTTTTAAGGCGGGAGTTAGTGCCATGCATCATACTCATTCTCTAGAAAATGCAAACAGAATCTTTAATTAAACTAAGCAGCTTTCCCCCTCCCCTTTCTATCATTCACTCAGTATCTGGATTTCTTATGCAACTGCTTATGTACTAAAAAGCCACGCTCAAGATCTGATATGTGTTGAAGCTGTACGTGACTGTATTTTGCAATGAGTATGAATTTTTATCCTGAGGTTTTCTAAAAATTTGAATTCCAGATTTCAGGTGTTTTTTAGTGTTTATTAGCTTTACTGTTGATATAAATGCACACTGATTTCAATTCTAGTGAACCAGCAATAAAAGTTCAAACCTCTCCCTCACTCATCATAGAAATATTTTCATAAATGTGAATATGTCCTTTTGTAAGGTCTAGAGTTTTTACTCTGCAAGGTTATAGTCTCCAAGATTGAAATGAAGAGGCCTTGTTTCCTTTGTTTCAATAATTTCCAAACTAATTTGCCAATTTTATTTTTAAAAAAAAGCTTTTCTCATTTATTGCTTTGTAAGCACCTGAGCTTTCAGAGTGGGTACTTCTCTTCTCATGTAGGATCTTTAATAACAAAAATGCAGCAAGTTAATTATGCTTCTGGTGAAATGTGTGACTGACTAGATTTTTAAACAATGTGATCTCAACAAAGATAAGTACATATATGTTTTGTGGTTAAGAAGGGTTTCCACATGTGAAACAATGAAAGGACAGTTTTATGGGAAGAAAGCATGAACAAAAGGAATGGTTCCACTTTACAGGCATGGATATAAATTGTAGGTGAAACCAGATTTTAAATTACCCAATTTGGCTTTCCTGTTGTGTGAGCATGTAACATGAGATCTGTCTGCAGCCATGACACTGGTTTTCACTCAGCAAGATGGAGCTGCTGAGAAGCAGGAACTACTACATTAATGTAGCAAAACTTTAACTGCATCACTGGAAACAGGACTGGACTCCACATGTGACTGGCACTGGGAAACTCCAACTGGACCAGTGGCTCTGTCAACCTGCTCCAGGCTGGCTGAATGGAGCTCCTGCTAACTGGGATTTTTACATGTATAATAGAGACTACTGAGTCATGTTATTTTGCATTTCTATAATGGATGGTCTTAACATTTGGCCTCACTGGAATCTTAGTCTCCCTTGGTTCAGCCAGTGAAGAAATACTTGCAGGGATATAACATTGATAATGTCACCCCATGAGGAAGCACTGTATCTTTCAATGTCATGAAGCACATTATTTCCATTCTGCAGATGGAAAACACACAGTTAACTAGAACTGTGAGATTTGTCTTCCACAAAACAGAGCACATTACTGGATTCAAGTGTTTTAACTAAATCTTTGCACTGGACCTTGAGACAATCACTGTAAAAATGGAAGAAGTCTCTTACTACATGAAGTGACAGAACCAAATAATTTGATAAGGAAACTTTTCCACCTGCTTTCTGGTCATGTGAAAATTGTTTTATAAACTCAAATATATGTGGGGTTTTTTTCTGATGGCAATTAGTTTTTTTCTACATAATTTTTTCTTATCTACAGTTAAAGATCACAGGAAGCCCTTGGCATGACAGAGTACAGACAGAATGGTGTTTCTTGCTTTAAAGGTACAAGTCACTTTTCCCCCGACAACAGCCAGCTACCAGATTAATGCCTTAAAAAGACATCTATAACAACAGCAATAAATAAAAGCCATGTGTAACAGTCCTTTCTCCTGCTTGAATATTAGATCTAGGCTTTGAGAGCTGAGATAAAAGCCTAGATTTAAGATGTCCACACTGTTTAAGGAAGAAATCAGTTTCTAAGAAGATCATGTAAACTGCCTAGTTTTCCAAACTTCCCAGAAGTTACTTGTCTTATGGTTTTGCCTACCTCGTTTCATAGCCCGAGGACTACCTGGACCACTTCTGCTTCGAGAATCAGACTCGGAAGTCCTTGAGCTGGACCGAGAGCTGTCTTCTTCCTCTGATCCTGACGACTCATCTATAAATGGGCTGTTGCTTATTTGAGTTGCTTTCTGCATAAATGAACACAACATTCTTTGATATCTTGCATAAAGGCTATCAGTCATTTCCTTCATACTGTGGCAGAGCTCTTTTGGCTTCATAATATTCAAAGCTGTTTCTTGCTTTGGTTGTGAGTTTTGGCACACAAATACTAACATGAAACTGAATTCCCTCTGCTGTCTGTATGCTCAAAAACACCCACACTTCAAAACAGAAACCTGAGGTAGCTCAAGGCATGGGTCTTTCCAAAGCACAAAAGACTGTCAGAAACAAACAATGCTGTGATTACTTACTGCTGGTTATGTGACTAGAAACAGTTTTGGCACTGACACAAAGAATTTCTACATACACATGCTTTTAATTATGACATTGAACACCATGTGGTTCTGTTTAATAATTAGCAAGCCTTTGGAAAAAATCAGCAAGGAACCTAAGAAGAACTGACCTAGGCTAGTAACATTCCATAAGCAGTATTTTTTTCCCCAGCTATTTGACATTTCTATTACTTCTGGGGTTCTGTGATCTCTAAACATCAACTTACAACATATTTGGCATGGTAGTATTAAATGTAAAACAGGAAGTTCCCGGATGTGAAGCCCAATAGTATTTAAAAATGTCCTTTAAACAGTAATATAGTTACCCCTTTCAAAGTGGTATAGACAGGAGTGGTCATGTTCTTATATATCAGAGATGTATATAATCCGGATATGGAGCATGAATTTAGTGAAACAGCACCTAAAAAAGCAACATATTCTATAAATGACCTTCTTAATTTACCCCTCAAGTAACCAAATTCAAATTTAATTTTTTTTGGTGTTGTTTAACTGCTATAAAAAGCAAACTAACTCCTGAACTGTTATAGATGGGAGATTTATAGCTTTTTAAAATTTAAAATGGTTTTAAGAAACATAAATAAAATTGCAATCATGAACACAAACCTTTTTTAAATTGGAAGTATACCTTGGTACCTGTTACAGAATCTTCAAAAAGAATTGCAAAGTGAACTGGAGTGAACAATGTACAAATTCAGCACAAAATCAAGAGGTAAGGTGGACTATGGAAAGATAACCAATAATCTTCTAGGTTTTAAATAGCTGATAACTAAATCTTCATAAAATTATTTTAGAAGTCCTTGCTTACACATCACCATAAGAATAGAATTTTTTTTAATGAGACAATGAACAACTAAACCACTTACTTTTACTACGAGATTCCAGGGTGAAAGCTTCAGACATCCTTAAACCAGATTTGGCTACAGCATAAATTCTGCTTTCCTATACAGGCAGAATGGATTTGATGGTAGATAATTAAAACACAACAATTACTTTTCTTCTGTTTAGCCTCCTAGTCTTTGTGCTAGTGCAACTATATGCGAAAATGGTTCACAAAATTACATCATCAACAGCAGCTGAAAAATGCATCCTTCTTTTATATGCCATCCCCATCATATTCATAGTCTGTTTCAACATTGCCCTGTAGGTAACTTACTTTTAAAAATACTATTATCAGGTGCCAAAGAAGCTATAGCGAGAATGTTTCTTAATGGAAGATTGTGTGTTAAGAACAGAGAAATGCCATTAAAAGACAGTTTTTCAACCATTTTGTGTTAGAAGACTACAATAACAAAATCTATAATGAAAAAAATGCACTAAAATATATACATAGGAAAGCTGTTACATTAATGCATTATTCATCTCTGAATCATTAATAAATCTCTTGACACTGGAACCGCAGAATCAGTGAGTCTTGACACAGTTAATTTTGGATTTTCTGTAAGACTTATTAATATCTATTTTAATATCCTGACTGCTTGCTTTAAAATTTTATGTGGAAATCTGATCAGTAACTTCTGTAATCTGTAGTTGTCTTCTGTCAACCTAATTGTCTAGATTGTGAGTGGTAGAGT